ATTTCAATGATCTCTTTGGGGAGGCAGATAAAACAGGTTTGTGTGTGCATGTGGCATGTGCTAGGATCCTCTAAAAGCTGGAAATGACTGAATAGAGGTGCTGGAGCACGTATGTAAAATATCTAAATAAATCTTTAATATTTCTAATTGCAAATGTACATAAATTGCACAGCCACATCATTTCTTTGAACACCAACAACTTTCTCTGTACATTATTACATAGTTTAAAAGGAGCTGAAGGAGATTCAGCAAACACTTCCACTTTGCTTTTTTGTTTTTTAAACATACTTACAAAAAAAGATTTGTTTTTCTTTATAAGAGGATATAAAACATAGCGACTGCTTATCAGGAACAAGTATCAGCCTAAGCAGATATACAGAGAGAGGTATATCTTAAGACACAGTGATGTATGATAAAGGAATATGTGAACATGGAGGCTGCACTCTGGGGTACTGGTAGCTGATGCAGAGCCACATGGCATTTACAGCAATGTCACAGCTCAGGTGATCTGTGAAAGTCAATGCTTGAACGTGACGCCCTTTTCCGAAGCGTGGTTGTTTCTGGATGTTGTGCAACGCCCTCAGGATTGGATTTGGTTTGGAAAGCCCATGAGCTGCGTGTTCTCATGCTGCTGTTGTCCTCCCCCAGGTGTGATTTTCCCCAAGGGGGAAGGAAAAGGCAGCAGTTATCTGTGCGGGGTCAGAGCAGGGCAGGTGCCACTGGCTGAGCCTCCTGGCTGAGGAGTCTCCTCTGAAACGCCCCGAGGCTCAGAGACCGGCTGGCATTGGGCAGGGAATGTCCCTTCCTGTGGCCACTGAAGGGAGCTCCCGGTGGCCTTGAGGCCGTGGCTCTGCCCCACACCAGGTCCCAGTCCTGGCCAGCCTGGAGGCCTGGACTGCTCTGAACACAAACCTTTGGGAGGAGGTGACCCCAGCAGTCAGTGCAGGTGGGAAGGACGGAGCGCCCACCCAGGGACAGTGTCACAGGTGTTCCCTTTGGACTCCAGGCAAAGCTGTGTGAAGGACAGGACAGGGACCGTGGTGGGCCTGCTGGACCCACTGGCTGCTCTCAGAAAGGCCTGGCCCCGGGGCTGCTCCCACTGCCCTGGGATCGCTGGGGGAAATGAGCCCCTTTCAGATCACACCCCTGGGCCACAGCCTGTGGCTGTCCTGCTGAACACATTAGTGCATCTGCCATCTGTGACTGGAAATCCTCTCCTTGTCCATCACCGAAGAGACCTCAGCACATTTTCTATTGCATCTGGATGTGGACATTAGGAACAGGAAAAAGCCTATGAGCTATCTAAACTCTGGGAATGATTGATTCCTTGCTGACTGCTTTCCTAGGAGAGCCTGTGACACCTCACTGAGGTCCAGCAAGTCCCTTTGCCCTTTAGGAATATTCATAGTAGCAGAACCTGTGTCCTGCAACCTTGCAGCAACCTCTGGGACTGGCTCCCAGACCAGAGGGTTCCATGTGTTCTCACAGTGCAATCAGTGCTTTACAGCTGCAAAAGCAGAAAACAAAACCAACCAGACTCAAATGACAATGCAAAGTGACACTGGACTCTTTGGATGGCAGCAGGATTTGTTTAAACTGGTGCAAAAGGGGCTGGTGACTACACTGTAGTATTAGTTGGCATGGGGAAAGACGGGGGTCCTTCCCATCTTTTGGCACTGAAGCCATAAATCCCTGTCCAAAATGATGATACTTACAGTCCGCAGAGACCTTGGGATACAGGTCAGTCTATTTCATCCCCCTTCACACAAAACCGCTCATTTGTTCAGGAGCGTTCACTACAGTTTAACAAAACCCCAAATCAAAACTCTTAGAACAGAATCTTTGAGGTGGGCCCACAACAAATCTGGATCCACGGCTTTGCTCCCTTCCCTTAGATCCCAAGGGAGGAGGCTGGAATCAGAACGTGGGTCTGGATCCAGATTTGGCAGCCCGAGCCCACCTCTCCAACACAGCAGTGAGATACAGCCAAATCCCGACCGAATAAGCAGCACCAGAAGTAAGTTACTATATACAACTGTTAGTGAGATAGATACGGTACAGTAAACACTGAGAACATTTACAAAAAAATATTAAGACTTGTATTAAGATAAAAATTGGAGTGTTTTTGCTTTGTTTACACTTTGACGAGTTTGCACTAGTACTGTAGAAAGCGCAAGAACCAGGAAGGAAACGGAGCCGATGACAAAACCTTGGTGACAGTGGTGTTTGTTTGCTCTGGTGCTGCAGCACCTCTCGGGATCCAGGTATTGCTATGCCAGGTACCAGCTCCGAGGCCACGGCAGGGAACGCGCGGAGCTCCCGCACTCACACACACACGCACACACAGAAATGTACAGCTTATAAATAACAGAAGCACAAGCGGAAGGAACAGAACTGAGCCTGGACCTGAACACCTGCCCCCAAACCTTTTTAGGGGAGAGTCACGGTTAGGTCCAGTTGTTGACAGTTGCAGGGAAAGGAAACAGGGAAAAACAGGGGGGAATCTCTACTGTAATGAGACTTCGTCCTGATTTAAATTTCTTTTTGTACTGGCTCGGGAAACTAAGCAACAACTCCAGAAGGTGTTGGCACTGGAACTTCTAAGATTTTAATAACTGGCTGTGGAAAGATTTAAGCATTCCTGCTGTTTCAGCAGAACAATGTGTTCAGTAATTTGCAAGTTTGAGGGTAACCAGGAGTTTGTGACAGATCGGGGTGGGGGGGGAGCAGTGCCTTGGCTTGTGGTTGAGGAGAAGATTAAGATGTACTGTGCTTAGCTTCAGCACTAAACAATTGGTTTGTGGGTGTTTCTTTTTCCAGCTCTTACGGAGAGCACTGACTGCATCCCAAAATTACTTCCATGTATGAATGGAAACGTCGCTGGTGGGGCGCCCGCCCCGTGCCCTGTTAGCGTTTCCATTCCTCTATGTCACTTCTGTCTTGAAAAACTCCAGTCTCTCGCAACACAAATACTTTAGAATTCAAAACCATTAGCTCTAAACAGGCATCTTAGGGCAAAAGCGTTTAATAGTCTTTTTTGCAGGGTTCTTATCATGTATTGACTCTGAGACAGTGGCAGGTGTAAATCTACGTACCCAACGGTTCATGGTACCCTGTATATTCCTAACCTGTCTGGGTCTTTCTCCAGTTGTAACCTTGTCAGATTTGTGAGGTTCTTCAAAGCCATCTGTGCTAGTCTCCAAAATTCAAAGGTGACTGTACTTGCCATAAGTACTGAGTTATGACATTGCTCTGAGGAGCTCCGTTTGGGGTCTGCTGTGTGCTGCACCCCTCGGCAGGTGTTGGCGGGGTGTGGAGACCTCAGTGCAACACGTTCGCTCCTCCTGGGCTTGGCCCAGGGCTTCCAGGGACCAGAAAAACGTGTAGGAAAAAGAGCATCTTTAATTTTGCAAACGATTGCATGAGGAAGAATGCTGTTAAGGAGCCTTATGGCTGTGGGGCAGCACGGCAATGCAGAGCTTACTGGCAAAGTGTCCTGCTCAGGCAGCCTGGGAAGTGTGAGGCTGGAGACGGTACCTAAGCAGAGCAGAGCTCAGGGAACATCCTAGTCCCTTGGGCTGTACATTTACACATAGCAGGAGGAGCTAGGACAGGCGTTGAGCAGTGTGTTAACCTTTAGAGGGAGCATAGGCAGATGTCCTGTACACTGTACACTGTCATCCGTATCTCAGAGAAACCTCTGGCTCTCGGTACGAGGGACCTGCTCTGAGAGTGGGACTTGTGAAGGACTAACTGCAAGAACCACAAACCCACAAACACACCGTGGTGGCAGGTCAGCGGCACGACCCCCGTGAAGGGGCGCCCCCTCCGCTGAGCACAACGTGTCTGTGCCGAAGGCGCGCGTTTCCGCGCTGGGAAAGTCTAATCCTGGCTTATGCCTGCACAGTGCTCCTGACAAGGGGCCTTTCGGTGGTGGCTGCTGTTCTTGGTGGTTACTCCCTTATGACCATGTTTTACATTCTTCAAGCCGGTTAATTTCCATGCAGTGCTCATTCCCAATTTAAAGAGGACAGTATTCCAGAAAATGGGATCTTTTTTTTTCTAATGCATACTGTGAAAGAAAAGAAATACAATTACCGATCTTCATGGTTCTTCAGGGCTTTTTCTTGTTTCTTTGTCTGCTTTTCTCCCCAGAAATAGTAAATCTCTCAGCACAGAGCATTCCATCCCCACAATGAACCCTTGATCAAGCAGGAAGCTGCCACTGCACGTAGCCCCTCGCTCCCCCTCTACCACAACAGGCACCAGCAAATCCAGCCCCTGTCCCTCAATCACAGCTCAGGGACCAAGCTCAGGCAACATTCACTTTATTCTGTGGTGGGAAGTGTGCGGACAGTGCCTGGGGCTATTGCTTACAAAACTCTTCCCCTTTAGTTGTGAGAGAGCAGAAGCTGTCCAGAGGAATCGAGTTGCCATTCACCAGGTGCCAGCTCCTCCCTCCACTCCTGTGCCAGAGCCTTGGCCTCGCTCTGTGCCCCTGGGCTGCCCAGGGACCCCCAGCAGCACCAGTCCTGCCCCCCTGCCACTGGGGCTCCCCACACAGCACCCCTTTGGCCACCATACCGCCCTGACCTTCCATCTGCACTGCACTCCCTGGATGGGCAGAGGTAATTAAACACTAATTAGCTGCATAAATGCCCTGGGGATGCTGTAGAAGTCAGTGGCCTCACAAAAGCCCCCAGGCAGGATGCTGGGCTCAGCTGGGGTTCACTTTGGGAGGGCTGTGCTCCGGGGGGAGTCACAGGAGGAGCAGGCCAGGCTTTGCTGCCGCCCTCGGACGCTACATCCAGCAGCACACTTGAACTGGACTTAACTGGGCCCCTGCCTGCTGCAGGCTCTGCCCAGCTCCCTTTATTTCGCTTACTGCAATGACAAGGACGTTACTCCTTGCTGGGAGGGGTGAGGCATATCCTTTGGGCAGTTTAGAAGGAAAAGGTTACTTTTTGTTTAAACATTAAACACTGATTCAAATCCAACAGTGACAGCGATTCTCAAATATATGTTATTTCCTTATGCCACTCATCTCACACTCGACATTCCCGTCCCTCAATGTGCTGGCAGGACATGTCCCAGCAGGGTCAGTCGGCGCCGTCCGCAGTAAGGAGCTGGTGCTCGGGGAGCAGCCGTTCTCTGAAGCCGCGGCTCCCGCCTGCTGTGCTCGGTCCCTCCGGCCAGGCCTCTCCTGCGGCAGCGCCCTCCGCGCGTTAACAATTACTGCTGTTTCTGAATTCTCCATTCTCTGTAATCTGCAATTTAGTTGGGTTTGTGGGGGAGATCCCATTACGTGTCTGCATGCTGTACCTCTCTTTCAGCTGAGTAAGGGCACTCATTAGCCGTGCGTTGGCAGCATCCAGGGAAGCAATGCGTTTCTCCTGCAAGCAAATGGGCAGAGGGCACAGTCAGTGGAAAGGCACGAGCACTGTCCTTCCCTTGGGATGTCTGCCCAGGACAGTGACCCGGAGGCCTTTTGGACCAGGACCTTTCTTTTTGGCATTCTTAGGTGAGGGGTTAAATGCTACACAGCACTTTTTGAAATCCATAGGACTACAAATACCCTGCCTGTGCAATGTGAGCTACGTTTATTTTAGGATCCTGATGAAAATGGAGGTGACACAGTTGCTCTAATTATTCAGTTATATACTGTACTGTTTGTTCTAACTCAGCTGTTATGAAGATTCTAGGATTCCATTTCCAAACCCAAACCCTCCCAAGATAGTTATTCCTGTCAGTGTTTAATTAGTGTAAATTAATAGTTTAAATGATTTGTAGCCTCCCAGGCTGTCTTTGATGGCAGCTCTCACCCATTACAGCATTGTAAGGATGGCAGCAAGAGCTGCCATGTTGCAGACTGATTCTACCACTCCTGTTCTTTGTGACACTGAACAAGTGTTGTCCTCCTGTGACTGCCACGAGCAGAGGAACAGAACCAGCTCATGGGCACAGCAGTTGCTCGTGTGTAACTCTCAAAGTCCGTGTATGAACACGTCCAACACGTGTACAGCCTGAGGTGACCAAAAGAGAACAGCAGAGAGCCGGCAGGGCCATGATCAGAACCTGACGTGTCCCACGAGGTGCAGGGGACAGGAGAAGGTCCCCGAGGGGCTGGGAGGCTGCAGGTACCATCCCTGACACCTTAGGGACACCCTGGGTGTGCTTGGGCTCTGCTGGAATGGGATGGGATGGATGATTTAGAAGCTTTGAACAAATTGCTCCCCAGAAAAGCTGGGGTTTTTTACAAAATTACTACTTTCTCCTTTTTAATTAGCTATACAGTGAATTAGTCCTGAGTAGTGACTCACAAGTGATCAATAGGTTGTTAAGTGTAAGGCCAGAATATACTATCACTTCTCAGCCACAAGCTGTAGGGAGGCCTGGTTGCTAAGGACATGGTGGTCTCTGTTAGACAAACTAAAAAATTATGGGCTGTATTTTTATATTCGCTTTTCCAAGCACAGCGTTTTGCATCCATCATGTGATGCTCCTCTTCCACTATAACTGATTGCAGTAACTGAGCTGCCCAATCCTGCAAATCACAACCCAAAGGCTGAAAAAACATGTTGGCTTGGCCGTGGGCAGGCTGTGTGTTCCTCGTTCTGATGATCCAGGCATTACTGGGACACCAAGCAATGCTCCAGGGGATGTGATCCTTTCACTGACTGAGTTGTGTGCACAATCCCTCCCCAAAATGCCGCCCCATGCCCTCTGTGCCATGCTCCAAGGCTGCAAACAGCTGTGACAGTCACCGTGTCCTGCTGCAGCTGCCCTGTCCCTGCCTGCAGCTTGGTGCTGACTCACCCACTTGGTCTCACTGTGGGCTGGCACTGCTGCAGGGGGTACCTGTGTGTTGCAAACCCACCCTGAAAACTGCAGCAGCCTTTGGCACGGGGCACTCACCTGTGCATCAATGATCTTCTGCTTGGAATCCACAGCAGCCTGCATTTCAGCGTGGTCCTTCTTTAACTCCTCCTCAACTGACATCAGTCTGGGAGCCGAGCACACAAGAAAAAAATTACATTGGCTGGGCTCTGCTAAGCCCAGGTATTACCCTCACACTCTGCCTCCCCTTACCCACAAACCAAGCTTTTTTACTTGGTTCTTCCCTGGAGCTCTCTCTAGTGGAGTGCCCCAAAGCTGAAGTGACACAGCACAGTGAAGGCTGACTGAAAGCACTAAGTGGGCTTGGCTCAGGTAAAGGTGAAATCGACTGCAGTGAAACAGTCCTGGACAAATGTAAACACCACTTCCCACTGGGTGGGAGAAAAGGATTTAGAGTTACAAGTAAGGGATGGTGATGAGATCCATAGCTATATGAACAGAACAAGGCTGCCAGAGCCTCCAGGCTCTCCCCTCCTGAAGTTCTGCCCGTGTGCATCATGAAAACGTTGGGGTTTTCCTTCTCCCAGGTAACCCATACCTGAAACCTGCCTGCACCTCCAAAGAATCCTGATTTTCCTGAGAAGGGGTGAGCTCTAATGCCAGCCAGGCTGCCCTGCCTTACTGCCATCCCCAGCACTCCAGCCTCCCTTACCTGCTGATGATGCCCTTCATCTGGATCTCCTTATCCTCCTGCTGCCTCCGGAGCCTCTCCTCGCTCTCCTCCAGCCTGGCCTGGTACTCCAGCACCAGCTTCTGCGTGGTCTCCTCCTGGCATTTGAAGCGAGTCTCATATTCCTCCAGCTTCTTGTTGGAGATGCGGAGCTTGTCCTGCAGCACCACCAGGTCCTGCTGGTACTGAGCAGGCAGGGACAGACACAGGAGGAGAAAACACGTGGCACGTTACCTCGTAGGGTCTGCCCTCGCCAGGGTTTCCCCCAAACCCTCTCACGCCCCTCTCCTCGTATCAGACTATGGCTGCAAACCCGTATCAGACAACCCCGCTCGCCGACACCTCCTCTTCCGTCTTCTCGGCGGCGCCAGGAGCGATGCGGGGTCCGCGGGGCGGGCAGGTCGCTGGCAGGTGCAGAGAGTGGGCTGTTAGCAGAGTCTGGCATTTCACAGGGGAAATGCAGGTTAGAGCGGGCCAGTGGCAAAGGCGGCGAGCAGCTTCTCACACTGACAGCACAGGCAGGAGAGGCTGCAGCCGTGGGATCTGGGCTTCACACAGGAGCTCCTCAGTCTGCAGCAATAAACGGGGGGGCTCTGGGCAGGCTGGGTGCCAAGCACGAGGGGCAGTGACAAGTGCAGGACACTGCTGCCTCATCACCCTCCACTGAACTGAAGGCACCGTGCTGGCTGGGCAGGGCACAGAGCACTCCTGCCTTTTGGGGCCCAGCATTTAACTCAGATCTCGAAGCAGGGTTCAGTCCAAGGAGAGCTGCTGCATGAAGCCAAGACCCCACAGTTGTACTGTTCATTTGGGTGAAGCTATAAATCAGCAGCAGAGTCACATAAAGCAATTAAGAAAATTAGGAGCTTTTGAACTTGGTAAAACTGGGTTCAGCTATTGCAGCAGCACAGCATTCAGTAAACTTGCTTTGCTAAAGGAAAATCCAGTGAGTGTGTGCACAAGAAAACGGCTTTGATTTAAAAAAAATATATTTGGACATAGTCTTAAAAAAGCATCTCAACTGGAATAACTTTAGAATAATTAACATGCAGCTGACAATGTGGCAAGCTGCTTTTAAAGAGTCAGATACAGGTAAAAGACTTCCATCTGAGTCATGAAGGCTGTTAAAGCTACAGGTAATATTAATGAACTGAGAGAAGTGCACTCCGTTGTGTCTTGACTGGGCCCTTTCCCTTTGGCCGTCATACCTGGGCAGGCACTGCAGTGATGGGCTGGGTCATGTCCCAGCTCTGGGAGTCCTCCTGGACCCAGAGCAGCTCCAGGGAGAGGGGAAGGCAGCCAGGCTACTGATGGGGACAAAAATAACTGCAAAAATAACTGCAGCTCCCAAGGATTGAAAACTTAGGAAGCTGATGGTTTCCTGAACTGCCAAAGTACTGGAGAGAGGCGGTTTTCCTTTAGCAAAGCTCCTACTGCAGCACAGGAACACGGTTTGCACATGGAACCTGAAGCAATGAGGGAACAAAGCGCTCGTACAGCTGCACAGAAACACTAAAGTCAGCAGGGAGTTGCTTGAACAGGAAAGATTAATACCTACCCTAGCTTTAAAATAGGAGCAGCATAAGTGAGCTCAGAGGAGAGCAGGAGAGGCCTCAGAGCCCGAAGGAGTCGCTCCTGTCTCTAGAACACTTGTCTCATTCTCAGTTACCATTCAGGTCTTACGGTAATGGGGAGAGAGGTTATGCTAATGGTGATCTTGAATGTCAGTGACTGATGGGACAGCAGAGTAAGGAAAGATGCTGCATGGCAATGAGACAGCCTGGGCCAGGGCTCCTGCTGGGCTTGGGGCAGGCACTGGGATGTTCCAGTGCCACTGGAGTTTGTAACCCTACCGTTGCCTGCCCTGCAGCCAGTCAGGATGGGCTGAACCCACAAAACTGCCCTGATCTTGCTGGGGCAGCTGGGAGCTGCTGCCTTGTACCTGCTGGGTCCTATGACACCTGCCCTTTAGCATCTTCCTTGGGTTTAAGAGGTGACAGTCCCCAAATGACACAGCACAGTAGAATGAGCACAGGAAGGATATTGGAACAAAATCAGAAACATGTCTGTGCTGGGAAACAGGATGGGGACTTAGGGAAGGGTGATGTCTGCAGTGCTGGTGTGACAGAAGAGAAGCACATTGAGGAAACATCCCAAATGCTACTGATGCTCAAGTGCCAAAATCCTGGCAGAGCCAGGCTGCTGGAAAGAACAGCAGAAGCAGCAATCAGCAAAGATGGGATTTTCCCAGCTTCTGACTGCTGGATCCTCATTTTTATCCTTCTTTTTCACCCTAGCCAGACCTACTTTGTCACTTCCCAGCTTCTTCCACCCCAGATTTGCCTAGGAAGGAGGGGAAGGGAGCAGCACCCCTCTGCTTCAGAGGCACAGGGCCTCTGTGGGCCCAGGGGCTGAGACTGAATACTCTGCACATGACTTCCTGGCAGACCCCTGACTGGCCAGGCCCTGATCTGTGTGACACTGCCATTAGCTTGTGGAAGTGCCACAAAGTCACCCCAGGCACCAGTGCTGTCTCTGAGACCAAAATCCGGACTTAATTTTCAGGTCTGTGGACAGCTTTTTGACATGGAAGCTGCTTCTTGCTCCATGTCCCTGTTGTGAGGCATGAGGCTGCCTGTACCTTACTCCATCTCTGGTACAGGTCTGCTCAATCCACTTTTTAAGCTTTCTTCAAGGGCAGCATCAGCACTTGATTCCTGGCTCCTGTCTTTCTTACTTGCTTTCATCAGAAGATGATTCCAGCCACTGAGTGTGTGAAAACCTCCCAGACATTCCCCACAAGTTCCCTGTGAGGCTGAGAAGGACATGGAGCAACCTGGCCCCCTCTCTCCTGGGCAGGGACCTGCACACAGCCCACCTTCTCCCCAGGGTGCTCAGGGAATGACATTCAAGGAAATCCTCTCTCTATTCAGAAACTTGTTTCAATCCAATCAGGTTTTACCTTTTCTGCTTGGCTGAGCTCGTCCTTATTCCTGAGCTTATCCCTGTGCTTGGAATCTGGGTCAATGCTTTCATCTTCTAAAAACTGCATGTTCATATTCAAAAGCCAAGCAGCAGTGCGGTCCAGGGCATTGGGGTTCACAGGAGAAGGGGCCTACAATGAAACAATGATACAACCATGACAAAAGAAAAACCTGTAACACAAATGGTCATGAAGCTGGGGAGAGAGAGTTCCCTTCCAAGCAGAGACTCTCCCATGCTGCTCAGACAGCAACGAGCCAGGCTGAGCTAGCAGAGCAGGCTCAGGAACAACTCCTGTTCTGCAGTTGGACATTATTTGGGATCAAGCAGTGGGAGCCTGCTCCAAGTCACGGCCCTGATGTCTGAGCAGATCCTGTCACCTCACAAGGACACGGCCTGTGAAGGTGCTGAGCTGCAGGTGAGCAGAGTGGCTGCATGTGGTTTATTCACTCCATGAGCAGAGTCCTCTCAAGTCTTCATCTTGTTATGAGCCATCTTTGCTTCTGTGGATTCCATAAAACAAGATCTGAAAACTGAAACGCTCCTTATGACCATGCAGGTGCCTTCTTGGAGAAGAAAAGTTTCTTTTCAGCCAAGGCTACACAAAGGATGCTGAAGAGGTCTAAATGCTCAGTATCACTTACTAGCAGTGATCTTCCAGTGGTCAGTGAGCTACAGCCATGTCTGCTGCCTTTCAGTCCTGGCCTGGGCAGGGATTGCCAGTGGCATTGCCTAAATATTTTCCAACCACATTACAAGGAAGTCACTCTTCTGCTATTTCCCTTCCATCCAGCCTTGTCAGATGAACACATGGGATCTGGATGACTTGGTCGTTCAAGTGAATGACTTGGGAATTCAAGTTAACAAATCAGAAATGTCAGACTTTCTCCTTCATTCCAACCTCTGGACAGAGAAACCCGGTCACTGTCAGGCAGCAGAACAGGAGGTTCTGTTTCAGAAGGAGGGGGGTCTGGTTTAATTTCCTCACTGGGGTCAGGGGCTTCCCCATGCCATCTTCCAGTCTGGTCTTCTCCCTCCAGAATTATGACTGAAGCATCAGACTTGACCCATGAACACTGCTTGCTACAAATCCTCATGCTGCCAACATGCAAATAAAACATGTAGAGTGAGGGTGGGAGAGGCATTCCGAGACTTCAGGTCTGAAGAGAAACTTGGAGAGGACCACAGGGGTTGGTGGAGGAATCTTCTGTGAAGACAACCTGGCCAGGGCTTTCTGATGGCCACCTGGAATCCTTGTTTTTCTGGAAGAAACCCTGCTACAACCAGGCCTCTGCTCCTTGCACAGCTCTGGTAATGCCAGCACTTACACATCGATACTGGAATCATGGAGCAGCCCTGGATTCCCATGAACAACCTTCTGTGGGCAGCACTGACCAGGCTCCACAGCTGCCCTGTGCTGGAGAGGCAGACACAGCCACACTGAGTGCTGGAGAAGGGCCTGAGCTATCTCCAGGTCTGGGTGCAGTGGGCTCTTGCTGGTTGTCTAGTCTCTGTGTTTGCTTCTCTTTTACAACTCTTCCTTCAGGCACAGAGTTCTTACTGTGATAATCCTCTGTAGGGCTGGTTTTGAAATGCAGAGTGAATAAATGAGCACTATAAAAAACATTTGTCCATGCCAGGACAACCAGAGGGCCCTAGGCCTGTGACCTGCTGCCTTCCATTGTACCTCCACGGACAATGCAGTGGAATCTGTGCAGTGCAGCGCGTGGTCTGGGACTGGGATCTGCACAGTAGGAACATCGCTCTGGGCTCCTTCCTCCCTTCTCCTACGGGAGAGTCTCAGAGCAAACAGGAATGTCCAGGAGCGCCATGGCCCCGCTGGGACGGGAGCAGCAGCATGGAAGCTCTTATTGACAGGAGAGCAGGGTCTGCTCCAAGCCTGGGAGATGGCGTGGGGTTGACTATGGCATGGGATGAGAGCCTGGCCATGGAGAGGCAAAGCAGTGACAAGATGGTAGCACAGGACAGTGGCATGGCTGCCATTGCCCTTGAGCCTCTGCCACCTACCGCGTCACACTCCAGTGCCACGTGAGGGAGGGACACCGAGAGTGGACACTGCTCTGTGTTCCTGTCCCTGGAGGGCCTCTGTCTCAGGCCAGAGCCGAGGTACATCCCCACATGCAATGCCACTATGGGGTTGGCACTGATGTGGCAGCTCAGAGCCACATCCCCTCCCATGGCAGCCATCTCCACGGGCTAACCCCACCTGGCCCCTTCAGTGCCAGGGCCTGGACAGCCCCAACTCACCTGTTTGTGCATCGTGCGCTGCTTCATCTCGGGGCTGTCACCCTTGGAGGAGGAGGACTGCTGCCGGAGGCGCGCTCCGCTGCCGGGCCAGTCGGGCGATGAGGACATCATGCTGCCGCTGGAGGGTCGCTGGTACTGCACGGTGTTGAGCAGGGAGGGCGGCGTGCGGCCGCGGCTGACGGGCGGGGGCGGCGGGGGCGGCTGGTCGATGCGGCGCTGCGGCCCCGCGCTGTTCTGCCGCGGCATGGTGGGCTGGCCGCCCTTCTCGGTCAGCGACAGCTGCCGCCGGGCCAGCTCCCCCGGCCGCCGCGAGAAGTCCTCGGCGGCGGCGGGGCCGGCGAAGCCGTGCTTGTTGGCCGTCAGCTCCTCGCTGTTGCTGTGGGAGCTGAGCGAGCTGTGGCACTCGGAGCCGGAGTCGCCCAGGCCGCGGGGGGACAGCGGCAGCCCGGCGGCCATCTGGTACACGGGGTTCTGGAAGGACAGCGGCGCCAGCAGCTGCGGCCGGCCGGGCGCGCTCTCGCCGCTCGGCGTGGTGGGGGTCTGGCCCACCCGGCGCACGGTGGCCATGCCCGTCACGCTGTTCTGCTGAGTCCGTGTGCTCCACACGCCCTGCAACTGCCCCAGGGACGACTGACTGTCATTGAGGGAGTCGGCCGTGCCGGGCACGTTGGCCCCACTGTCCAAGAGCCGATTGTCCTGCAAGTCCACCATGGACAAACTCTTGCTGCCATTAGACATCTGCACGTCGGGCTCATTGGCCTCTGAGTAACTGGAGCTTCGGGCAGGCGAGGGCTGGGCCCCAGCAGACCTTGTGACAAAAAACAAGTCCTTGTTTTCAGGGGTTGGAGATGGTAACCGTGTGAAATCTATCAGACTGCGGGGAAGTCAGTGCGTAAGGAAGAGGAGAGGAAAACAAAACAAAAAAGAAGAGTTGTGAATGCTGCACCGGAGCAGGAAAACGAAATCACTCAGAAATCAGGGTGGCGCAGCTGTGTGGGACAGGGATGGGGAAAGGGACAGGACCCAGCCCCGGCGGGAGCAGGGACAGGGCTGGCCCAGCTGGGGACAGGGAGAGGAGTGGGGAGGGTGCTGTGGAGCCCCGGGCTGGCCTGGGAATTGGCAGGTGAGGGCAGGTGAGTGAGGGCAGTGTGTGCACGCAGGACACTGCACTGTCACCAGGCTCAGGGACACACTCCTGGGGGCTGCTCTGCTCTGGCTCAGTGTGTGTCACCCTTCCTGCTCCCAAAGGCTCTATCCGTGCCCGTGCCGTGTCCCCTGCTCTGTGCTCCTGTGGGCACACTGGCCAGGATCTGGACAGCACAGAGCACCGTGGGGCCAAGGTCCACACCAGCCCTCCCAGGACAGTGAGAGCTCACACAGCAGAGCTAAAGCCTGGCAGCTGAAGGTTATCCCCCCACTCCTGCTGCAATGCACATTCATGCAATATTGATTTCTTGGGGATAGGAAGAGAGAGCTTTGCAGTAGCTTAATGTGAATATTCTGCTGATCAAAGATGGTGCATTGTAAGCAAGTATTGAGGGGAAGCATATTGTCAGAGATCCTCCATAGCACTGGATTTAAATAATTGCACCTCATGCTGGGAGGCACTAGAGATGAAAGCTCTGATTACAGCAAGTCCAGTGCCATTGCTGCCTTTCATTCCTAATTAAACTGTTAAATATTATGCAGTTTCCACTTACAAACTATTTTACTAGCACAATCTTTCCGTTTGTGTGGGCTCCATTTCATTTTCCACAAACAGAAACATTAGAGGTCTGCAAAAGCCTCACTCTCCCCATGAATGAAGCTCCTTACTTAATCAGGCCAAAAAGTATGTAGGTGACTGTTGTCTGTGAATCACTGCTCAGCAGTGAAAACTCCCAGCTTTATAAAAACTGGACAGAGTAAACGGAAATTCCTTGTGAGGCCTCTACAGCTTGGATAATTCCAGAACTATCCAGGTTTGGATCTCAGTGAATTCAGCACACACCCTACTTCGTACAAAGACAGGTGAGGCCAACCCTGTACATCCCTCATAGCCCTTAACAACACCACTCATCACTCAAAGTCAGCACTCACAGACCCTCAAGTCCTCAAAGGATGAACACTTTGCTTCTGCAGCCACATCTCACCAGCTGAGACCAGAACCACCAAGCTCCTGATTTCCCAGACCACATATCCAGTTCTGGCTCTCAAGGGCTCAGGATGGAGTCATGGACTGGCACTACCACCCACTGCTCTCTGCAGAGTCAGAGCTGAACTACATCCAGCACCAGCTCTGCAGTGGGAGATTCTGGTCAGTGGACCAGGCCAACTCCACACTGCGCCCTGTCCTGCCTGTCCCTGTGTGAATATTCCGTAGTCCCTGGTGTGTGGCCAGGCCCCGTTGGTCTCTTACCCAGATAAGTCATTCTCTATGACCATTTTCTGCAGCCCTGCAGAGATGCTGTTGCCAGCACTGGGCGTGGAGGCGGCGTGGTCGGCAGTGACCGACACCTGCACGCAGGCGGGGTTACTGAGAGCGGCGTTCACGTCCCGCAGGATCCGGGGCAGAGGCCCCAGTTTGGTGGCGGTGCCCTGGGCAGGAAACAGAGAAGAATTACCACTACCATCTTGTGCTTTTTTGCTAGAGAACTGTGGGCGTTGTTGCCAGTTGCTGGACAGTCTCTTCAGGGAATCACATGAGCATTTTCTCCATCATTTCCCACCCCCAGAGCTGTCCCTGCCATCCCCTGGATACCTGGTCCAGTTGGGAAATGACTTCCCAGAGTAGTGAGTGCAATGTGGACAGTTCCCGGCCCAGGTCTATGTAGCCCTCAAAGCCAGCTGTGTTTGAGATGGTTTCAGGATTAGAAATCTCCAGGAGAAATCTCTGCATGTTAGTCCATTCGTGTTCCAGGAACTGATTCATAAAGGACATGTATTCCTCTTTGCTGCCAAACCTATTGAGAGAGCAACACGGATTTCAGCTAAATCCAGGGAAAAAAAAGTGCAGTCCACGAAAAAGGGCAGGTACAACACAGCTAAGAACCCTCCTCTGTCATCTCAACCCTTCCAAGCAGCTGGGACATCTCACTGACCACGGAACCAAAATTAACCCCACGTGATCTAGCTAAGCCCTCATCAGTGTGGGATCTGCACAGCAGAAACAAAGGAAAAAGCAGGAGAAACAAATGAGTTCTTGGTAACCCAGTGTCTCACTGCTGGGTCAGGGCACAGCCTCCAGAAACAGGACCTGTCTCTGGAAATCAAGATGCTGTCACAGCAATCACCCTCAGCTGACTGGAGCCCAGTGATGGATGGGGGCAGGAATCCTGCACTCTCCAGCAATGCCAGCACAACTGCTCTGGGATCACCCTGGAGAGCCACCCTGCAGCTGGGCCAGCCCATCATCCCCTCAGGTTTCCTGTCACCTCCTTCTGCCCTCCAAGCTCTCCACCCTCAGCCTTTTGTCTGATTTAGAGCACAGCAGGGAGAGCCTCGAGGCTGGACTGTCCTGGCAGCAGTTGGTGCTGTGCCAGTGCCAGCGGTTCCATGGGACAGGCTCGGCCCAATGCCTTGCACAGGACAGACTGGCTTGATCACTTCAGCTTGACTAATGTCAGCTTAGTTAAAGAGCCTTTCTGCAAAGTGCTGGAAATATGAAAACCCTTTAGTTAGGGATTGGTCAGGAATACAGAGAATTTCTGTCATCTAGTGTAACACACTTGTACATCTCTGCCGGTGTCCGCAGGCGCGTCTGTGCGTTCCTGACTGTGAGTGTGAGCACTAAGCCAGTTTCCAGATCTAAGGAGCTTTAGATAGAAACTGTCCATTCATGTTTCAGAAAGCTCATCATTTTGTTATCAGAGCTCAGGATAAGTAGCTCAGAGCTACAGCCAGTGGAAAGATTTTCAGAAATCTCTCGCTTTGTTTCCATCAAACCAATGGGCTTAGTTAGAAATTGATGGTGTCCCTGTTCTCAGTTCAGTCAGCTGCATTTTAATAGCAGGGAAGGTCTCAGAGCTCAAAGGGGGGATGGAACAGTTTCTGAGCCGAGCACATCACTGCTGCTGAGCAGGTTCTGGTCCTACACCTGCAGGACATCACAGGACAAAGTCCCCACTGCCACCCTGCTGCTTGTCCATGTGGTCAAAACAGCCTGTTTTCTTGCTCATAAAACATGTCCTGTTTTGGAAACTTGAATGATCTCCCTGACCTGACAGTGAGGGAATGAGTCCCAGAGAGACGTGGGGAAAAAGCCAACAGGAAGCAAACGGGCCCTTTCCAGCAAGGAAAGGAGTGGCCAGTGTGGGACTCTGTGCTGGCGCCGTGGCTCTGCCCACGCTGTCCCCTCCCCAGCGCTGCCCTGCCCCAGCCTGGCTTACTTGGCGAAGTTGGCGAGGTTCTGGGTGACCTTGGCGATGAGGGTCAAAGTGCGTGCCGTGCGGTCGTCGGGGTACTCCTGGAGCAGGCTGAACAGGGACGGGGACATGATGGCCGGGCACAGGAAGCGCAGGAACAGCGAGGCGCTGATCAGGCGCTCGCTGATGTCGGGCCGGCCGCGGTTGCTGCACTCTTGTCTCCACGAGGCAAAAACTTCTTTGAGCTCCCTTGGGAAGACACTGAAATGACACAAGGACAGGCAGTGTCTGTCAGGGTTGGAGTGTCAGGAGTCTCAAACCACACAGGGGAAAAAAGCAAAGCTGCTCTGTAAAGCTGTGAGAGAAGCAGCTTCTATTGGACCTTATTGGATGCCAATACCCAAGAAAACTGGGAAGACTGGGATATGAAACAAACTGTGCACAGCAGCCCTTTAGGACTCAGTGGCTGTGCCATGGGGTGCTCTGAGCTGGAGGAAGCTCAGCCAGCAGGGAGAGCATCTCCTGAAGAATCACCAGCAGCACTGGAATCTCTGGCACAGCTGGAGTTTGCAGGGGAGACTGTGCAAACTGTAATACTCCTGTTCAAGCACCTGGATCAAATCCCACTGTGCCTAGTACAAACACAGAGCCCCAGTGGAGTTACTCCAGCCTCGTAGCTGCACAGACCTCAGCCTGCCTTTCCCGGATGCCAGAATTCCCTGGGGCCAGCAGACGCTCACTGCAGCAGCCCTTATCGCTGGGGAACTGCTGCCTGTTCCTGCTCGGCCCTCCCCAGCTCCCACCTTATCCTGTTCCCAGCATGTGTTATTTATTCAGCTGGAGACTCCCAGCCAGCAGGCTGGCACTGGACTGCCACTGGTCCCCGTGTCCCTGGCACACAGATCCCATTGCCCTGGCCAGGAATCACGGTCCTTGTGTCACACCCAGAGCTGTTCCCCAACAGCAGGGGTACAACAGCAAGTGAGGGGGGTCGGGCTCCATTTCAGGCCATCTGACCTTGTGACACAGTGGTGACACTCCATGGAAGCGCCTGGAAAATGCTGCCATCCTGCTCAGCTTCTGCTCTGTGCTGCCTTCACACTTTCACCCTCATGAGCTTTTTTACCCTGAGCTCTACAAATAACATTAGCCAATGTCTTTGGCTGGATAAATTCTCCTCTGTCTTTGGCTTGATCCACACAATTGGACAAAACCCTTTCACTTCATGGTATTTGCTCAGAAATGGGAGAATCCTTTAAGCAATTTGAGGCTTGAATGATCAGGACAGGTTGTGCAGTGACTGGAGAGCAAACCCCTGAAATGCAGCAGCCGCACATTCCCGTCACAGGCTGGAGCCCGGGGAAGTTGAATTGTGTCACAGGATGGAATTTGGATCGTTGGCTTTATGTGACAAACTGGCCCATAATTCATTACCCAACTTCCCGGTAACGAGCTTCCACATGCTGAAATTCTGCTTACACTGAAACTTTCCAGATGTCCAAATTATGTCATAATTATAACAATTTTCGGTTATTGTGAACCTCTTTCCTCTCCCTGACTCTCTCCACAGATGAGCACACACACTCCAGAGCTCTATTTAAAGCAGGATCCTTGGCTGTTGGGATACCTTGGCCAATCCCAACACTCATCCGCCCAATTAATGCCCAAGAACCGCTGAGCTCAAAGGACTGAGGGGGAACCACTCAGAGCAGCAGCTCAGCTGCTCCAGCCTTCCTTGGGAAGGCAGGATGAGAGGAACAAACTTCCTGTGCATTCCTGACTTTCTCTGGGTCACTTTTCAAGCCTATTTTTAGAGTGACCTTTGAGTGCTGCTTTGGGTATTTTTAGGAAGACATTAATTCAAACCATTATGATGCACTGCTGACTGGAAGTGGTGAATCCCTCCTGGGAGAGCAGGTAAAAGCCATTCCTGAATCAGAGTTATTAACTGGCCAAGGATAAGGAATAGGATACCTGTAAAGAACCTGCCCTTTGTGTACCTGTGGTAGATAACAGCAGCCTGAGCAAGCCTCTTGCTCCTTGCTCTCCCCCTGAGCAGGATCAGTTCCCTTCCTGGCTTCCAGGAGGGCACACTCAATATCTTGGGAGATTATTTGTAATAAGTTTTCTGACCTCAACAGCTAGGAGAGGAGAGAAAACGAGAAAGCCTCATTAACAAAGACCTCCCTCCTCCAATATTATCCCTCGGTGATGCTTTGCAACAACAGTGTTGCTACTAAATACATTAATAAAAACTAAGCCCAGATTTAAAGCTGAAAGGCTGGAAATCCAGCAGTGAGACAAAAACGCTCCTTTTCTCCCATGATCAGAACCAAAGTGAAGAGAGTCCCAAGTCCATCTTTTTTCCCTTGAGGTCACCTCTGCAGGCAGCAGCTGTCACAGACCCAGGGACTCCTGGCTGCCAGTCCCAGCAGGAACACTACGAGCACAGCTGTGCCCAACAACCACCTCCTCACAGGATCCACTGCCTCACACCAGCCCATTTGGGATACTCAGGCCTGTCCCAACCAGTTGCAAGAACCTTTACCCTGAGAACAAACAACTCGGAAATGCCTCCAGCTGCATACCAGGCCTTGGGCCAAGGAGGCAAAGGGCTCCCATCACCCAGCAACCGCCCAGGGCTGGGAGAGACAGGGGTTAATGCAGAGGAATGTGGGATGCTGAGCCAAGCAGGGAGAACAGCATCCTCCTTCCAGCACTCTGCAACCAGAGAACATCTGCCCAAACAAAAGCTGCCTGTGCTGGGGCAGCTCCTCGCAGGTGCCACAGCCCCTGCCTGCTGCAGGATTTCCGAGCTTTGCCGGATGCTCCTGGAGGTGTAGGCTGTCAGTCCCATCCAGACTGACTTGTTCCTTGGGTGGAAAATGCAGGACAAACATCTCTGCCCTTTATTCCAGAATTTCATACACATCTGGCATCAAGTACCTCCCTGAATTGGTGACACTTGGTGTTCCTTGACTCCACTGCCCTGTCCCTGTGCCCCAGTGACCCTTCAGCACCTCTGAAAAGGGTGCCAGCGAATCTGGGAGGGAGCCACGTCCCCAGAGCAGATACTCCAAACTCTGGCAGAGTCCTGCAGCTCCTCCTCCACAGCTGTGCCAAGCCAGGGGCAGGTCCCAGCTCCTGCAGACACAGCACTGCACAGGAGGGAGTGCCACTCCAGATACCCACCAGTAGGAGTTGATGATCTTGCAGAAGGCCAGCTCACAGCACATCTTCAGGTTGCCCTGATGTTCGGGGAGGTCTGAAGATGAACATTTGCTGGGATCCACCTCACAATTTTCATCTGATTCATACAGTGCCTTGATGAACTCCCCTGTAAAACAGAGTTGGTGATGGGTTTGGAGACATGAGAAGTGCAGCCTTCAAGCAGCTCTGTTCCTAAGCCCCAGTGCCCGAGCAGCTCCCTGGCACCCCATCACACTGGGGGAAGAGGAGAGGGACACAAGAGCACGTGGTGGCCCTGGGGCAGCCCTCTGACTCTCCACAGTTCCAAGAGGACCCAGCAGAGCCCAGCAGTTCCTTGGGAGCTCACAGCCAGCACAGCACACCCAGCACCCTGCTGTTCCAGCCCTGTTCCCCAGCTGGCAGTGCTGTCCCTGTGGGATATTGCACAGCACTGCAGTGCCCAGCACCCGCCTGGCCCCCTGCAGCAGATCCACAGACGCTCCCTAGGGCTGATCCAGGAGGAAGGATGCTGGCAGGCCCTGTAATTATGGGCAGCGTGGCCTGCTACTGCAGCCTGTGCCCTGGTGCTGACAAACCACTGTGATTCACAGGAGAAACAGGTAATTAAAGGAAAGAAGCAATTTACTTGGTTTATTTTGAGCTGAACATCACATAAAATGAAATTAAAATATTTCCTTGAGTTTTCCTGTGCTCCTCTTCCCTGCCTGGCTGCTCCTCCTCACTCTTGCAGAGGCTCACACTGAGCTGCTCCATCAGTTTCTGCTCTTGTGCCACCTTTCACCCCAGGGTACCTGGGCACATGGGGGGTCAGTTCTTCATCCCAGCAGTGACTGGGGAGACTGGGACAGGGTAACAGGGAGGAGGAGGCAGCATTAGTGATGTTCTAGGAGAAAGGTTTGCTTTGGTTTTCTTCTAATTCCAATTGGTTTGCTCCTCACTGTCTTGGATTTTCCCATCCTGTTTTTTCCTCACTCCCATCTGCATTCCTTCCCTATTGCCAAAACAAATTTAAATTACATACTGGAGAGCCTCTCCAGTGTATGTTCAGCTCTGCCAGGGAGCTCTGGAGCCTCTCTGCTCCCTGCAGGTGATGCCTGCTGTTCTTACCTGGCCCCATCACCTGCTCCATGGCTCCAAGGACAGTACCACGCTGCCCTGGGGCACCTTGTGACACAAGTGATTCATCTCCCTGGGAAAAGGACACTCAGAACACAGTGAGCAGGAATCCCAAGCTCCTCCTGCACGAGATGGAACTGGCCTGGCAGCATTGAGCCCCCAAAAGGGAATATTTCCAAATTCTCTGATATCACTAATCTCCTGGCTTTTGAGAATTTTTATGAGTAATCTACTTACAGACTTGTCTTCAACAAGAAAGCATTACAAGGCAGAAATAAATAATATTCCTTTAGCTATTCTTGTGGGCTCTCTGTCTGAATTTGCTCAATTATTTCCCTTTCCTCAAGGTTTTCATTATTATCATTATTCTCTTAATAAAGTATTTATGCTTCTTTGCTCCTTGCTAAAATTATACAAATCCACTAGCAGGAACAGGCATACTGAAAAATTAACACCTCAGTAGAAACTCTGCTCGTCCTGCCCTGGGATGTGGATCCAATGGAAGCTCACAGAGCTTCCAAGGCAGCCTCTCCCCATCCTCGTGCTGTGTTCCCTGCATGCAGCAATTCCTTCCTGACCTGCCCAGAAGCAGAAGCTTCTAATTATTTTCATTTGCATCAAGAGAAGTATTTTTGGAGCCATAAACAGAGCCAGCACTTGGAAGAAAAAAACCACCAGGAGGGTTCCCAGTGCTGGATGATCCGGGAGGCAGAGCATCACTGCGACTTGGGAGATCTCATCTGACTGGGGAGTGCTGCAGGAGCTGGGCAGCATCTCTGGGGTGGGGGTGCAGGGGGGGAGATTCAATCAGCCCATGACAGCCAGCACTGAGACAGGAGCCCTGGCAGGCAGCAGAATGCCTTCAAACATCCAAACATCCACTGGTTATCTCCTCTGAAAGCTGATGAAGGCGCCAGCTCTGCGGTCACCTCCACCTGGCAGCAGGGAGCTGCCACTGCAGCCATGGCCATGTCCTGCTGCCAGGGAACCCCTCCAGCAGGAAATGCTGGGGCTTCTGATGGCCATCAGGGCTCAGGTGATGTCCCCACCATGCACCCTGGAGAACCTCTCTGGGTACCTGCCAACGCTCTGTACGTACCTAAGGCATCTTGTAAGTATTTCTGCCCCACCAGCTTCAGGTATTCTTCAATTGCTTTGGTGGCCAGTGTGTTCTCCCTGAAAATGAGATGCTCATTCTCACCACAGCGATCAACTTCAGACATCATCAGGTCAGTCAAGAAATCCTGGAAAGCAAAGCCCATGGTGGGTCACCACGCACTGACACTGGTCCCGCAGAGCTGCAGCTGCCCAGCCCCGAGAGGTCCCGCCTTCGTGACACACCCAAGGGACTGCAGGTGCTGCAGGTGATCCTGTGTGAGCACACTGCCTCAGCACCTGCCCAAATTCCCTCAGAGATGAGGAGAAATAAACCTCTGGAGAGCCTCAGCTCTTGCACCCCAACAATGGCTCAGCCCAGACCCACATCTGCCTCTCCATCGGTGCCGCTCTGTGGCTGCTCTCGTGTCAGCCTCACATTGTGTGGGTGAAACCTCTTCTCCCCTGTTAAACGTGGCTGTGTTTGGTGTCCAACTGCACTGGCTGCAAACCATGCTCCAATGTCATGAGCTGTGCCCAGTTAATGGCTGAGACACAGCCTCTGGTATGCACTGAGATACTCAAATTTCCCATTTCCTCCCTATTCACAGAGATAAACAGCACTGACAGCACCCACTTTTGGCACATTCCTGGTCTGATGTGCACACAACCGAATCCATGGGATGTGATAATCCCTCGTGCTGCAGAACAATGGCAGGGGTGAGCAGGAGCAGCCCCTGACAGCAGCCCCCCACCAGCTGGAGCTGATGCCCCTGCCCAGTCTGGCCTCAACTGCAAATTCCAGAGGAAAATCAGCATTTTAGAGCAAGCTCCAGGTCTCCTTCAGCACAGCATTCACTGAGCAGGGGGTCAGGAGCTCCTGTGCATGCTGCTGATCTGAGTGTGCTGCAGCCAGGCTGGATCCAGGAGGAATGCCAGGCACCTGCTAATGCTGATACATGTTCCCTGCACTGCTAATGGACAGAACAGCTCCTCCTCACTGCACCAGGTGCTGAGGTGTCACCACTCACCTGAGTGACAATGCAAAGAGGCCGCTGGCACTGTGCAAATCACCCACATTAACCCTCAGACTGCCTCCCATGTAGGCGACAGAGAAATGATGACACACACATTCATTCACCTCCACAACCAAGGGCACCTTCCTAAACTCCTTTCCATTAAAACAACATAATCTGCTTAGTAATAACCTTCCACTAAGAAATTCTTCATTTCCCCTGACAGTCACAGCCCGTTCCTGGCAGGGGCAGCAGGAGCACCCCAGGCTGCCACACAGTGCCCCACGTCCTGTCCCTGATGTCCCCAAGCACAGCAGAGCTGTCGGGGTCCAGCCTGCTCCAACCCCACTGGGGAGAGGGGACATCAGGTCCCACTCCCTGCCAGTGGCTGGATGGGAGCTTTGCACCAGAGGCAACTTGCTCCGTTTTATTTTTCACATGGATATCTCTGCATTGAAAGCTTAATCAAGGTTCAACAAACAGCTTTCCCTGAACCCAAGATGTGGGACACATATTGAGAAAGTAAGAAAATTACAGCCTGAAAAATATTCCAGGCTGGAGCTTCTCAGCTCTGTTCCCAGCCAATAAGCTGGTCCAGCTCAAGGCTAGGGAGAATTTCTCCCAGAGTGATAATTTGGTCAAAATAAAAAGAAATTAATAACAAAATAAAACACCTGTTGTGGTGCATGACCAGGCCCTAGGAATGGGGTGTCTTCTCTCTGAACCAATCACCTTTTCTCTACTCTTGAAGTTGCAGTCATGCTATAAAAACAAGTGTGTTTCTGAATAAACTTGGCTCTTTCTTCCTATCATAAAAAACAACCATGTAGCTGTGCATCTTATTTCTGCTGCACTTAAAGAGTTAAAATCCCTTTCCACGGCTACACCCAAGAGACCAAAATAATTTAATCCACAGACTCTCCATCACTGTGCTCCTGTCCCAAGCAAAGGCAAACCCTGGGGCAGGCAGGTACATCCCTGTGTAAGAGCACAGGAGGAGGGGAGGTGACATCCCTGCAGTCCCCAACAATCCACTGCTCCCACCTCGCCACCAACACACTGCCCTTGACCTTCCCCACAAGACCCTCCAGAAAAAAAAAGCCAGAGGAGGAGCTTTGGGCTAAAAAAAAAAAAAAAAGGCACTTCCATTATTTCTTTAGCCAGAAGATGCCCTTCCTCAAATCCTGCTACGTCTGCAACGCTCCGGCAGCTGCAGAGGAAAAATCCCTCCTGGAAGCAAAGCACGTGCCTCCCTCTGCTATTTTCTCTCATTTTGCCCTTTTTATCTGCCAAGCTGGAATGAAACTTTAAACCCTGCTCAAATCCCGTTAGTTGCTATCTGGGTAACTCTATCACCTTTATCTTCCCGGGGCTCTCCCAGGGTACGTTTCAATTCCAAGCCACCGCTCAGGCTGACACAAGGTGCTGATTCTTAATTAGCAGCCTCTGACCTTGGCTTTGCTTGATTCTCTTTCCTGTCACTTTCCCAACATACTAATTATCTCAGGAACACTGAGTTTTACAGCATCTCTTAGCCAAGTGTTTGCTCTTCTCCCTCTTGTCAGCTGAGCACTGGCTGCTGAGTCCTGGAAACCCAGGGCCAAGTGGAAACCAGAGTGAAATGTGAATTTGGGTGACTTGAGCTGATCTATAGAATTCTCTAGAATTTAAAATGAGGCAAGATTCCATGGCAGGACTCAACACAAAGCCAGAAAAGATCCCTTGGAAATCTCTGCTGCTCTTATTATTCCCTATGGAGCATCTGCAGCTCAACAGCTGGGAAAAGAATCCTTGTCTCCAAAGTGGAAAGGAAAGCTGCCAAAGTCCCAGAGAATTCCATTATGGCACAGCATCCAAGGCTGAGGAGCAACACAGCAGAATCTGGCCTTGCAACTGAGCAGAGAAAGAGGGGAGAGCTCAGGGTTGTCCCTGAGCAGCAGGTCTGGGCTGCAGAGCCATCCAGCCAGGCTGGCCCTGGGCTGTGTCAGGGGTCAGAATTCCCCCAGGCAGTGCCTTGGGTGAGTTCCTCTGCAGGGACTGCTCTGGGCAGCTCTGTGAGCCACGGGAAAGGTGCCTCAGCCATGGGTCACTTCCTGTGACATCCTGCATTTCTGTCCCAGGGCCATCGTCCAGACCTTCACTTCTGCCCTTCCCTCCACATGGAAAAGCTACATGGCCTCTGGATCCCACTTCTGCTATCTCTGCCCTAAGTACTCCAGCAGCCAGCACTCAGAAGACACAAATGGAATGCAAATACTTGTGGAATCCCTCCGGGGGCCTCACTCACCCACATACAAGGTCCTGAATAAAATGCAATAACTAAAGCCAATAAAACTCCCTGTTTCTGAGCAGCAGAGATCAGCAGGGGGTTGTTTTCAGTTAGGGCCCCTGGCAGTGGAAGAAAATAAGATGCTTTATTTCATTACATCAGAGTCGAGAGGGGAAGGAAGAGGTCTACAGCCAAAATTAAGGGCTGTGGCACTGTTCTCCAGGCTTGTTCCCATGTTTATTTTAAGGCTTTTTGCTTCAGACTGGACGGATCTGACCCTGTGTGACCCCAGTCGCTGCACATATGCTGATAAAGAAGAGCAATTCATAAATAAATAAATTCAGAGCATGATGGCACAGGGCTGCACTGGTCTCCACTCTGCACATAAACCAGCCTGTGCTATTCCAAGGCAGCTCCTCCAGTGCAGGCAGGAGCCAGCAGCCCCAGGCCCGAGGGGTTCCAGGTGCCCGGGGGTGGCACTGGCAGTGCCTGGCCCTCCTGCTCTGAGCCCAGGAGGCAGGAGGATGAAGGCAGCTGGGTGCTGGCAGGGCTGTGCTGGGAGCAGGAGCTGACAAGCAACACAAGACTTGTAGGATGTATCCTGTCCTAACCTAGGAACGGCTTTGCCATCCCAGGAAGGTCCTCCCAGCCCAGCCTCCCTGGGATGTGCCCAGAGCTGGAGCGGGTGGGGTGCCAGGGAGCTGAGGAGAGCCACGCACCTCTGGGCTGGAGCTGATCATTCCTGCTCTTGTAACTGACTGATGGGCAGATTGACTTGGAAATAATAAGGTTCTCCAAATCACAAGCCTGATTAATAGGATTGACTTAACCTTAAGAGGATTGAATTGATAAAGGTAATAAGATTATTGCTTATTTCAAAGACTGGCTCAGAGTCCAGCTGGGCCCTTACGCAAAGGTGAAAACACCAGTGGTGGGCAGGGCTGTAGGTTTCAAGGGGAGCACTGGGACACACCCACGGGGGAGGGAACTGCGGCACAGGCGGCAGGAGGAGGGAAAGGGGGGCAGCAGCTGGGTCCGTGACAGATGGTGCGAAAGGACCCCAGCCCCAAGTTCGCGACTCTTCCATCACACAGTTCCTCTGAGGATCTGCTCCAGACACTTCTCTGCCAGGAAATAGAGTGATGTTCCCTCCTTCGAACCCTGGAACTCATCCATGGCACTTTTGGCCTTTTCTAATTCTCCTTGGGAAAAGGTGCTGAATGGCAACGTGAGGGTTAACTCACAGCAATGTGTGTCCTTCACCTTGCTCAGAGAAATAAATAAACCTGAGGGACGCAACACTAACACTGAGTGACCTCTCATGTCCCAGTCCCTGAGCCCAGCAGTCACTTTTCCACAGCCCTGACCCAGCCCTGCCTCTGCCTCTGGAACCTGGGGTTCCAGCAGATCCACACGGGGGGAGCAGCTCCATCTGCTCGGCTGAGGCACATCCTCAGCACAAACAAACACGGACACATGTTTATTCCTCACTCCATTCCCAACACCATAAATATTTATTTCCAGTGAGCAGCTGGTTAGTTAGAGCTTTGTCTAATGCTCGGTTTGATCTACCAGCACTCTGGACAAGGTTTTTGTATATTTATGGTCATGAACTGAGCTCTGGGAGCTCTTAAGACAGCCCTGAAATAAATCTAAGCATGGGAAATATTCTGGAAGCATCAGAAGTCCCTTGGGAAGGACACAGCCACCTATCCACAACCACATCACAGGGGCCACACCAAGCCCTGTAAGGCAGGACTGAGCACTTCTGGTAACTCCAGCCCTGGCAACAGAAGTGCTTTATGACTCCATATCTTTTGTCTGTGGGTTAAAAAAACATGTGAAAATCATCAGGCATCTCCACATCCTTACAGGGAGCAAACAGTTCATCAGTGCTCTCACTAGAAAGGTGAAAACAGGTAACAAGTGAAGGACTGAGCTCAGAGGCCACATCTCCGATTCAACCACCAAAAATCCCCTTTCAGCCTTTCCTGCCACAAGACACGGGGAACATCTGAGAGCTGATGGAGCACTGATGTCTGTCAGATTTTCCAGTGGGCTGGGGCAGCTCCCTCCCTCCCTCCCTGGGTGCTGCAGTCAGAACCTTATCAAAACCCTCTTCCCTTCCCCTCCCCTCCACCCACTGCCTTGGCAGCTGCTCAGGGCTTTCCAGGCGTGCCCCGTGCACACCAACCCAGCGCTGCAGGGATGAAGTTCTTCCCTTTCCCACACAGAGATCAAGGGAAGCACGGACTTGGACTCCAGAGGGGACTCTCTGCTTTCATGCTCCACCTTTTAACCTACTGTGATGCAGCCACAGGAACAAGCAGACATTTAGGGAAAAAATTCACCTACAGCCCCAGGTGTCCCACCCCACTGGCAGGAGGGACGCTGAGTTTTAGCAGCTCCAGGTAACCACACCTGACTGGCAGTGTCCCCTTGGTATGGGGTGTCCCCGGGTAAGGATGGCCCTGCTTCCACAGGGACACTGGTGGCTGGGACCTGGCTGTGTGTGGCACGTGGCACATCACACCTCTCCTGTGGCACCTCTCCTGCCCCGGAGCCCTGGGCAGACCCACGGACCCATCCCGGCCTCATTAAGGGATTACCCCGCATTTACAGCAAATCGCTGCAGGAAAACAGGGCCCCAAACAGCACAACAGCAATTAGCAGCTAACGAGTGCTCCAAGATAATCTACTGGACACTTGTTTTGCAGTTCGTAATTGCTGCTTTAGGTCAGCTACAGCAGCCAAGAGCCACAAAACCCCTTTATCAGAGAAATCAATCCGTGGCTGGGCTGCAGGGCAGGGAGGATCCTGAAGGGCTCACTGGGAAGGCCCCTGGTGATGCACAAGGATGAGGAACCCACCTCTAGCCCGGGGAAGATTCTGAGAGTCACGAGGGGAGAAGGGAGACCCTGTCCTGCTGTCCCTGCACTCAGGGGTCAGGGTGGTGGGGCAGCCATGGGGAACTCTCCTGAGGGGCACTGGGCTGCACTCACGTCCCCCAAACAGGGCTGAGGGGCTGCTTTCTTCTCTCATTCATCATTGTTTTACCTTTCTGCTGCTTTTCCCTCTCCCAGCTTGTCCAGCCCAGGATGCTCCACCTGGTTCCCATGCTCCAATAACTCCTGTTGCTCTGACAGCTCCCCAAACCCTGCACTAATGCTGATGGCAGATGACAGGCAGGGAAAGCAGAAGCTCCATTTTAGGGGAAAAGTCATCAAGCCTGTTTACTGTTTGCTGTGTCCCCTGTGTAGAGCCTCTGGGATCTCAAGCACTGATGCAGACACATGTCTGGAAACACACTTGCTCTCTCTGGAGCCTCTCCAGTACCGAGAGGCAGAAGAAAAAGGCTGGAGCAGTGACAACCAAAAGCTCAGCCATGCCCACACATGATCCAGGGTGATTAAGGCCGGGATGAACACTTGAAGCCTTTTGCACCAAAATTGTGCCAGCCGTGGACAGGGTGTTTCATGGCAATGTTATTCCCACAGAGCCCTGGCATTAAAGCTGCAGGAGCCACAGCAAGGGGCAGCAGAGCCCCTGGTGCCAGCACAAGGCAGGGCTGCGCCCAGGAACCACGTGCTGACACCTCTGGAGCCCTGGAACAAGGAGTGAGCAGAGACACCAAGCACAGCCCCTTGTGCAGCCCCAGCGTTATTCCCCACAGCCCCACGGCTCTTCCCTTCACTCCTGGGATCAGGAGGCTTTAACAGAGCTATTTTCTCTGCTGCTGCAACAGCAGGTCCCTGCTCCCAATCCTCTCAGCGAGCTTTGCCTGCCTTGAACTAGATCAGGAGGCCAAGCCACTTCTCTGTCCAACAGATGGCAACTAAACCTAATCCACGAGCCCGGCCACGGGCCCTGGCAGCAGCAGCAGCTGCCAAGGAAACAGAGCCTTGTGACTGCCCCTCAGGTGAGCAGCTCGTGTCTCCTCAGCACTGCAAAAGCTTTGGACATCTTGCCCTTCCCCAGCTGTCCCCTGCAGAGTGCAGCCCTGACATGGGCACTGCCCGCTGTGGCTGTGCCAGGCCACCAGGGATGGAGGGTGCTCTGCAGCAGGGCCACTCCCTGCCCTGAGTGCTGGAAGGAAGGGCATCCCAGCCCTGCCCACCCTGCCTGCTCCCTCACAGATCACAACCAGGAGTAACTCCCACTCTGCTTCCTCCTGGCCTGCTTCTTCCCCAGACCCGGCAGAGCATTCCCAACCAGGAAGGAGGCTCAGAAGTGATCCACAAAGACTGAACTTCCACCATGTGCAAGTCAATGGCATCAACCCCCAACGAGCACTGCCATGGCAGCCCCCCTGGACCTCCTTCCAAACGCAGTAGGACAGACTCTGAAGACCAAGAGCTGATCCAGAGACATGCACGCCTGCAGGTCTGGAATTCTGGAGAGGCTGCTCACAGCTCCCACTGTGCAGGGTGCTCAGCACACAGGGAGCAGAGCACGGAACCTGCTGGGCTCCCCAGGAATACCCAGCACACACAGACTGCTCAGCTCAGGCCAGCACTGCTTACATTCCATCCTGGAAAACTGCCTTCTTGCTTGCTTTCACAACTCTGACTGTTTATACAGAAAGAGCCTGGCCCCTGAGCCTGCAGAAGAAGAGTGAGGGAAAGTGGCTCAGTTGCTGTCTCGTGGTCCCACCAACCTCTCTGCTAATTAAGCAACTCGTGCTGTGTGTGCTACCAACTTGTTTGCAATCGAAAGAAAAACAGAGCATATGAACAATGGCCCAAAGCCCAACCCAGCCCCAGAGTCTGCTCCCCACGGTGCCTGGGGGGACACTGCAGGTGGCAGAGGGTCCTACCTTGGCCTTGCCCGTGCTCTGCAGGATGTGCACCAGCGCTGACGCCATCTCCTCCTTGTTCTTCACGCTCAGCGAGGGCTCCAGCACCGAGCACAGCACCATGTAGTTGTTGGTGATGTACTCGGCAAACTCCTTGTACATCTCCATGGGGAGGATGCTCATGCTCTGGTAGCGGGATTTGATGCGGATCATGGGCCCTGGGGATTTGCCCTTGCCCGGGTTGGGGCTCACCACCGGGTACCACTTCTCCACAAACTGCCGGCCCGTCACCGAGCTCACGGGGATGTTCACCTGCCCTATGAAGTTGGTCTTGTCCTTCTTCTTCTTTTTGTCAGTCTCTTTGTATAAGTGCACAGTAATGTTTTTGAGTGATGGGAGGTTATTAAATTCAAAGTGCTCCCCCCAAAAGACATTATCAGTTTTCAATTTACAGGTAGTTCGTGCATAAAGAACGTCATCCAGGCATAATTCACACAAGTACTTTTTCTTAGCTGGCAGGTCCTTGGCTTCAATAATCCATAACTTTAACATATTCTCTACCCTTCTGCTGTTGTCCTGAAAAAAAGATGCAAAAAAAAAAAAAAAGTCAATAAAAAAACCCCACAAAACCAAGCACAACAAAACTGGAGATATGAATTAATTATTTCGGATGTGCTAAATGAGCAGAGGCTTAATTACACTTTATTTTAAGGAAATACTGGCTCTCAAGAATTTGCATAATAACACTACTTATGTTAATTTTCCAAAATATCATCGTGCTCTCCATGTCTGTTGGTGCCAATTAATATAAGGAACAAGGGAGATAAAACCCCTCCAAATCATAAATGTACAATTTCCCATTCCCTGCCAAGAGGGCCTCTGAAGAATCCAAAAGAACCTCACCGGTCCTGAATGGTTTGTGCAAAGCAGAAGCTGTTACAGGTATCTCACAGCCTCCTCTTTTTTCAGCAGAGCTGCTTTACAGCAGCACTGAGTTCATGATATTTCCTGTAACACAGCAACACCAAGGGATCTGAATGCACATCCAGAGATCACCTCATCCACATGGGAATGCCACCACCAATGGCAGGGGAAAAAACTGTTTGTTTAGGGCAGAAATCCAGAGCACCCAAATTAAACACTGAGAGGAATCCTGGGAGAGGGCATCCCATGGGAAAATCACAACAATTCAGAGACAGAAATCTGCCTTGGATGTCTTTTAAACAATAACAGAGCCAAGAATACTGTGGATCTTTCAGAGCTCCCTCGTGATGCTGACCTCATCCTGGAGGAACATCCAGGGGTATCTGCTGCAGGAATGACTCCAAAGATAAAGCACTGGCAGCTGCACCACTGCTGGGATTCTGCAAACCCTGTTTTGTTTGGAAATCCTCACTGAAACAGCAACCACAGCTTACTCTGCTCAGCCCAGGAGTCTGGGCAGGAACGTTTCTGCTGGAAGTCCACAATGGGGTACTGTAGGTTCAGGAAGTACACACAGCAACTGCACAGGAACACTGAATTCCTGACAGAAATATCAAGTCAGATACTGAGAGTTTATTGTCTGTGAACCCAAAGAAAGATGCAAAGTCAGCCATCAGTTACTGCAGGTTCTGAGATGACAGGAACACTTCCAAATGCATTTCCACTCAACACTGCACCTTGAGGCCGCAGTGACATGCCCAGCCCCAACTCGAGTTCCCAGGAGTTCTCTCATGTTAAGTGTGAGCACACAAACCTTGCACAGCCCTCTCAGGTCAGCATCACCAGGAAAAGCCTTTGGAAAGCACTGGAGCCACTGAACTCCACTAGAGGAACATGATGCCAGAGGCCAAAGGCCACCTCTCCCCTCCACTGCTCACACTCTGATATTACAGGAAATCTTTCATTCTGACATTTGGCACTGTGCTGGGAACAACAAACTCAGACTGAGGGCCCCTTTAGAACCCACCAGGCCTGCACTGAATTAGTGTGCACAGCAGGAGGAGTTCACAGGATCCCATCATTTGTATCTTCTCTGACCAGCAGAAGACCTGGCTGAGCTCATCAGCTGTGGAATCCTGAATTAATCCTGACCAATCTTTCCAGCCAACTCCAGCACAGCAGGGAAGAAGCAGCTGTACGTTTTATTTTAGGATGTACTTAAGTCTTAGTGGGCCATAAAAATGCATGTTGGGTGTCCCTATGTTCTAGTGAAGGGAAGGATTTGTTCCTGTAAATCCCAGGAGATGACTTTGCACCTCGGCTGGCTGGGGAAGGAAAAGCTACACTCCACTGCTGCCTCTGAAAATGGACATCTGAGCTCCTCTGTGTCAGGAGCCGACACCTGAACCCTTCACTGCTCAGCCTTGTGACGTTGCTGGCAGCTACCTGACATCTGTCCCACGGCTTTGGGGAGGTGAAACTCCTAGGGAAGTGGCAAGTACCATCAGTGACAGCAACACTGAGGATTCTTCAGGTCTGATCAATTCTTAGCAAAAGCTGAAGCAGCATGTGCTGAGAAGAGAGGGGAAGGAATAATTGGAGCTTCTCTGTAAATATAATTGTGGAAGAAAGCAATATGGAAAAAGGCTGACCCGGAGTTCCACTTACTCACTCCAATGACAATGCTTCCCCTGCTGCTCCCATGCACTGGGCTATAAAATGTAATAACAAGGAACTGAAGTAGAGCAGAGGCAATTCCTCACAGCCCCTACCTTGTTGGGGTGCACGGCACGCCGCAGGTTCTCCATCCATTTATCTCGCTCTGCTGCCGAGCGACACGAGAAGCATTTACTTCCTGATGAAGTCGTCACCTACAGGGAAAGGAACAGGATTATGTCTTGACCAGCACACTGCAGAGTGTGGCTGGGGGAGAGGGGGGCTTAGGGAAGATGCTAGTGGATTTTATTTTTTTTTTTTTTAAGTAAACAGCTTTACCCAAGCATGAAGCAACAGCCCCTAAGGCTGGTGGAAAAACAGGACAACCCTGGATGTCACAGAAATAATCATAGAAGCAAATTCCAATTACTTCTCCTCTTCCACACCAGAAAATACTAGATAATGGGCTCCATGCATGTGATGTTTTAAACCACCAAGTTCCACAACTGAGAGAGTGCAAATCCTTAGATGAACTAAAGATAAATTGGAACTCCGAGTGGTTACTTGGCATTCCTCCAGGCTCAGCCCAAAGCCTGTGACAGTAACAACCCATTCCTTGTTTCCAGCAGAGCATTGGGCTCAAAAAGGCTTCTTTCCCACCTTCCTCTTTCATGTCCTCTGGCTGCTGCAGTCCTTGCTGTGAAGATCACGGGGACAGGTCTGGGCACCCCCCTCCTGGCCACGGTACAGCTCGTACCAGCTCATGGCCCAGCCAGGGCACTCTGAGCTCACAGCTTCTCACCCATCCCCAGCTGGGGAGAACCAGGGGGGCTTCCCAACCTGGACATGGCTGCAAGTGCTGCTGAGCCCTCCTCTCACGCTTCCAGGTTGATCCCAAGGGATTTTCTGTAGCATTTGTGTGACTTTCTCTGGCCATTGGGAGTTCACAGTCAGGGTTTAAGAAGCACACTCATAGCAGTGACATTTCCTGAGGTGCAAGCGCCCCTTATGGCTCATCACATTCCTGCTATCCAAGGAAACTCAATCCTGCTGAGCCCATGGAAGCACCACTGTCTGGCAGCACAGAATGACAGGCACCAAATTTCCTTCCTATGCCCCCATGCCAAACTTCCTTGGCATCAAAGCCAAGAGGTCCCAGCACACACAGATACTCCCCAAGCTGCCATCTCCTCCACACGTGCTGGTCCTGACCATCAGCAACGGGGCTCCAGCTCCCTGCCCTTTGCATTTGCTTTTGCCCAGCAATATTCACCATGCTCAGCTCTGCTGGGAGGCTGAATGGACCTGGCTGGTGCTTTAAATAACTCCCCTCTGAGCTTCATTTCCGCCAGTCTCAACCTGCAGAGTTATTTGTGAGTGCTTTATCATCTCCCAGTGTTTGTGTTTACACACTGTGCACTGGGTTATCAGCTTCTGGGAGACACAATCTCCTTTAATTTCATGTATCTCCCAGAAGCCCAACCTGTTCTTACAGCAGAGCTGGCACTCACTAAGATTTGTCATTAGCAAACCTCAACGATAAATTGAACACATCCCTTCCTTTGAACACAGAGCAGGGCAGAATGAGGCCTGTTCTGTCTTTACATAAAAACGCAAAGAATCTTCCAACTCTTGATATTCCAGAGGTTTTCCCCTTCAGACAGACACTCTCCCAGTCCTTGCATGCTTTGATACTCTGCCTGTAAAATACATTCTGCTGAGCACAAGCTCTCCTGTAGCTCCAAGAACAGACTCCATACTAGCAGGCACAGCAGTGGGATCTTTCCAGCTCCTTTCACGCTCCAGAGTATTTCCAGCTTCTTCAAAATCTCCCCTGACAAACTCCCCCTGCCTCATCTCCTCTGCTCTGCTGCCAATGCTCCTGTTAACCTCCATCCCTGAGCCTTCCCCCAAGGAGTTTTGCAGGCACACAGGATTGTCACTGTATTTTCTTGCCACATTTAGGTAAACACATGAATTATCGTGGCCAAATTCATTATTCTATTTTAAATCAATTATAAATTAATATTTCAAAACCTAAAAACTTGTAACTGTCATACTGAAGAGAAGGGGAAAATAGTGTGTCAGATATGAAGTGTGTCTTGGTCTGATGGGAGCTGAAGATCACATTGACCACGTGTGACCAAAAATGTAATTTTCCCCAGATCTGCAATCAGATCCCAGCTTTGAGTTCTGACTTAAATATCATATGGCATTAATGATCTTTATGACATATTAATTATCTTTATAAAGACAGTATTCTGGTCTCATCAAGATTTTGGATATGTTGGAATATTGTTAATGTACAGGATAAACTCAATTAATAAAACTCATTAATTTCTGAAATGTTACTTTTCCTATTCATTATCCCCAGTCCTTGGATGGGTGATCTGTTCAGATAAAATCTCATCCTTTTTAAGACAGTCCTAAGGTACAGGGTGGCTTCACTGGAAGGGACATGCAGGGGATGATAACTGAGCTACTGAAGGTGTTTCACTCGTGCCCAGAGCATTTCCCAGGGCTCAGCTGCAGCATCCCAAGGGCCAACGTTTGTACAGCTGGATCAAATTCAGTGCTGCTAAATTTAGCTCCACTAAATTCTCCCTTGCTGAGGCAAGGCCAGGATGAGGCAACAGGCTCAGCTGTACTGGAGCAACAACAGTTTGTGTTTCCCTCAGCTGTGTCCTGGGACAGCTCAGGCACAACTGGGCAAGGGGACAAGGCTTTGGTGTGCAAAGACCTAAAAGAGCCCCTCAGCCCTAATGGCCCTGCCTGGCTCAGGACCCCCCAAAAATCAGGGCCAGGAATAGGCTCTGAGCCTCTGGCACTGCCTGAGATGCCCACTGTGTATTTAGCACACACAGCACGTGCAGTGGCACGGGATGATTTGCTGACTGAGGAGTCTTGCAAGGAGAAAGAAGATGATGCTGAGTAATTAAAAAAAAAAAAAAAAAAAAATCAATGAAGGAAACAAGTAAATACCGACTGCCAAGTACTCAGCGAGTGAGAAAAAAAGCAAGTTTCACAAAACTAAGTAAGCAGAAAAAGCCAAGAGCAGGCTGTGGAAAAGCCCTGCCTTGGAGCTGACTGTGCTGCCTGGCAGAGCAGAGGGGAGCAGGGCTGAGCACGAGCACGTCTTAATGCAGGGTGGTGGAGAGAGAAGGGAAGAACAATTCCCTGCACCTTCATCCACCAGCTGCCTCCCAACGAGCCACTTGGTTGTTTTCCACTGCAGATGGCTTTGGCACCTCTCGCTTTTGTCTCCGTCTGGGTGTGCTGCCAGTTCCTCTCCCAGCCCGCTCTGCTCCATCTGCAGCCGTGTCAGATCTTCCTGGTCTGTTCCCCGAGGCTGCTCCGGGGGAGGAGCTGTGTCAGGTGAGCTCCGATGGCCCCGGTCCAGCTGGGCATGGGAACAGCTCCCGAGGCACTGTCCCTGTCGCTGTCCCTGCCCGGCCACCCCGGTGCTGGCAGAAGGTGAAATCTGAGCAGGGCTGGCAGTGCCCAGCAGCAGCTCTGCCTGTCCCCAGCACGTGTCCCGAGGGAGCAGGGCCACAGCAGCTCAACAGGCAGGGATGAGGCACCAGCACCACCTGCAGCACCTTCCCCATCCCCCGCACAGGACACAGCTCAGCTGCCCCCATCCCTGTCACCTTCTCACTTCTCAGTTCTTTCCCAGGACATCCCCCGAGCTCCCCTGTGTCCGTCAGGACACAACTGTGGACTGCAGTCACTGCAGGGATCTCAGGAGATCTGCAAACTCATTCCAGTGCTGAGCTCACTCCCAGCTTGGAAGAGGCTCCCAGGGGACACGAGACCGAGGCACTGACACAAAATGCCATTTAGCTCTCACCTCGGTCCCTCCCGCTGGAGGATTGTTGGTGAGCAGCCACCAGTGACAAATCAATGTCCCTGTTGTTTCCTGGCATTCTTCCTCTCCTCTGCAGGGTTTGCAGAACAGCAATTAACACGTTCTTTTTTTACAGTGTGACTTCTCTTTATCCAACTCACTTAACCCCAAGATTTTCTTCCTCCTTCCAAGTGCATGACTTGGGTAATTTCCCTCTCACTCAACTTTCTACAAGTTCTGTTCAGATCCCTTCCTCTCCTCTTGTGGGCTGAACAGAATTGGTAAACAACTCTTATATTATGGATGTCACATCTCTTTTCCATCTAGCTTCATTTTATCTTTCTTGAGTGGAATGCAATAGAGGACATATAATTTACAAAACTGTTCCCCTCCTGACCCATTGCACTTGCTCAATTCCACAAAGAATGAACAGCACTGCAAAATTTATATCTCAGCCAACTACAGAGTTTATGTTTGAGGCTATTTTTTTGTAAGACTGTTTTCATGTTACCCACTTATATTTTAAGAAATAGATCTTTTAACTCACTTATTTCAAAATGTGCTGTTTTCAGCAAAGAAAAATGTCTTTATCTTTCCAGTCTGACTCCTCTTGAGCACTGACATGTGTTCTCATTCAGTACTGCCCATCCAAGGACAGCCTGCAGCCCCATCACCCCTACAGCACAATCCAAGCACAGCTACACCATTTATCTGCCTCTCTGTGTCCAAGCACAAACAGGTGTTACATGCTCTTCATAGAAACACAAATATCCTCCACTTTACTACTGTAAGAAAACCATTTCCCAGTTCTGTACCCAGCCACTGCCATAAGCAATAATACTTTGCCATCCACAATTCAGGACAAATGATTCCCAAGATATCCTGTACTGAATTATCCAGCTACAGCCTGGCTTGTACGTGTCCTACTCCCTCCTGCTAGCACAGACCTTACCACATGCCATAACAGATGTCAAAGTAATCTGAAATACTCACAGATTTTTCTATTTACCCAAACAAGGGAAGCTTCAGTTTTCTAGACAAAGTCCTCCACACTCCCACTGACAGCAGCAGGCTGGCTCTGTGACCACAAGTAATGTCTTTGGGAACACTGAGTGGGGATTAGCACTTCCCAATATCTGTATGAACATAAACTGTAGGAACATAAACAAATTTATGCTCTGCTGATACACAGCCCTAAGCAGTGCAGCACCTGTGCCAGCAGCTCTGCTGTGACAGCCCTTACAAGGAGCTCATTGCTCTGATTGTGTGGATATGATCCTCCTTGGAAAGATGGGAGCAATTTTCTGCCTCTGAAATGGTCTCTGTGTAGCAATTGTGAGCAGCAATGTTTGGTAACAGCCAGACCCCAGATGCCAGCCCACACCTGGCTCCCCAGGCGGCCCCAGCACAGCTCCTTACCTCAAAGCAGTAGTCTTGTCCCAGGATGCTACTGTGGACTGGCTTGATGACCACTTCCTCCTCCATGCTGAGATCCAGAGCCTCAACAGCACTACTGGGACTGAGCAGGGACTCGTGGGAGCGCGATTCTTTCAGCCTCGGCATTAGATGGGATCTGGAGGAAAAACGCGACGGTGTCAGTGGATGTTCTCCTTCCCAGAGAAATCTGTTAGCAACATCTGTTAGCAACAACTGCACAGTATTCCTGGGAATGTTTTATCATGAAATAACCAAGGGCCCTGAAGAACAGGGCCTGCTACACTGTCCCATTTGTAATTTCTACTCTAAAGGTTCCAGTCAGTATGAGCAGCAGAGCAATTTTTCCAAACTCCGAGGCAGTCAGGAGTCAATTCTTTAGAGGTTTGCACACCGTGGAGTCTCTGAACAACTGAATCAAACTCTAAATGGGCACCACACCTGCTGAGGGAGACTTCCCAGGTGTGGGGTGTTCCTAAATGAGACTTCCCAGGTGTGGGGTGTTCCTAAATGAGACTTCCCAGGTGTGATGTGCTCCTAAACGAGACTTCCCCGTGTGCTGTGTAGCAGTGGGGGTGCATTGGGGCCCAGCACCCACTGCTCTCTCAGCAGCACCACCAGATCTGCAGCATCTGGTGCTGACAGAACCTCACCAAAACACTCACGTCTGGCTCTGTCACCAACAACCTTTGGGCTCATGTGCTCTCTCTGATTGTCACACACATCCCTGGGATGGGGACAGTGTGGAAAATAAGGCTGTGATAGCCCTATTGATTGATCTAAATGCTCTGGAGTCCCACTGGCAGCATTTAGCAGCAGGGAGCCCACAGACAGTGAGCAGAGCACCATTTTTGAGACAGCCAATACAATCAATGGTGTTGTAACTCTTAAAGCAAAACCAGAGAGCTCAAGGGGAAAAAAAAAAAAAGTAAGATAGTTAAGTATTCCCAGGGAAAACACAGCAAACCTATAAAGTGGCAAGGGAAAAAATAACTTGAAAGCAAAGGGAGCAGCTGCCTTCTCTGTAGCCTGCACCATGTCAGATGTTCCCACACCAGAGCTCTGATCCCAGTAACTCTGACCTTTAAAACCTCTGGCAAGCACTTTGGGGGCCCCCAAAGAGCCCAAGTGTCCCTGTCTACAAAGGGAGTGTGATGCCTTCTCCAAAGGCATGGAAGGACAGCAATAAGGGCAGTTTGTGATATTCTCAGCATGGTCTTTCATGAGGCAAACAACAATGCTCCCAGTATACTCCCAGCTTGCTCTGATGTGTGCGTTGGGTTTTGTTGTTCTCCAGAATGAAGCTGACCAAAACAGAGAGAAATGTCAACAGTGCATGCAAAATTCATCGCTTCCAGTAAATCACACTCCAGGCTGGAACCAAAAAACAGCCCAAGGAGATTCTCAGATAAACAGCAGCAGCACATAAACAGGTGCTTCTCTAGATCTGCCATTAAGATTCAGGCCATGCATGAAGCCCCAGGTGATAACAGAACTGCCTGTGGCTGTTCCCTGCCCGAGCTGCTCCATGGACAGCTCTGAGTGCCAGGGCCACCAAGCCTGGGGACACCTGCCCGAGGGCTCTGGGCCATCTCCCTGCCAGGGCCAGCTGTGGTGACACCAGTAAAACATCTGCAGGACAGGCACCAGCACAGGGCTTCTGAGGGGACAACCTGCAGCCCTGAGAGCCCTGCTGGGGCTGGCACAGGCCTGTGCTGGATCAGAAGCCCCAGGTTCCCAGCAAAGGCTCTCCATTAGCCACTCTCTCAGCTGCCCACTCACCCCACATCTCTAGGAGAGTAAATTGATCTTTAGGAACCCAGCACAGTCATTTCCCAGTACTTTGTGGCAATTTTACACTCTTTTCAGAGAAAAGGGTCCCTATTTTCCTCTGAATGATACTGTAAATTAACTCTAATACAGGCAGACAGATCAAGTTACCTCTGGATGCTGAGTGCAGAACTAATATCCAGCAACTCAAGAACTGACAGTACAGACTTCTTATCCAGCCCAGATAAGCCCAGAATCAAGGCATTTCTGGTTAATCTTATTTTCATATTTTACAGAGGAAATTAGAAAAGGTAAATAACCAAGCTGAGACTTGCATTCTTGTAGACAAAAATAAATACTGATAAAATAAACTCACAACTCAGTACATGACTGAGTTGCATTGCCTCATGCTGGCATAAGAATTTTCGTAAAAATTAAAACAAGTCTATTTTTCATCTAAAACTACTGCAGCTGGATGGCCACGGGTGGGAGTGCAGATGTGCAGTTTGAAGGATTACCAAGGGGGAGTTTCTCAGGGCATATTACGCTCTCACCAGACTCAGTAAATGTGTGTTTATATCCCTCCACGCTCTGCTGAATGCCTCTGGGAATCCTAAAACGAACAGGACTTTTTAGGGAGGTTATTTATCAGGTCCCTGCCTCAGCAGGACCTGCTCCCACGATGTCTCTCAGTCCTGCTCGGATCTGGCCCGGGTCAGCAGCAGACACGTTTCTCACCAGATGCTGCTCTGAGCAGGGGGAGCGCTGCAGGTCTCAAACCAGCCCTAAAAACCCAGCATCTGTGTATCAAGAGCTAAGTGGGGAGATGTCATTAATTAGAGCTGTTGGAAATCTCAGCAGCAGGGATGAGGATCTCTCTGCCAGAGCAGCCCTGGCAGGGCAGGAGGAGCAGAGCCCCCTCCCAGGGCTCTGTCTCATCTCTGTTCCAGCCCCCTGCCTTCAAAGGGCACACAGTCCTTTCACTGTAATCCCTGTTGCAGGGCAGAGAGCACTCGTGTCCCTTGGTGACATGGCATTGTAGCAGGAGCCCATTTACTGCAAAACATTTGCCAGTCCCTGTTGCTGCTCTCACAGCCCTCCCCTCGTACCAGCAGTAAGAGAAAGGCCCCAAGCTGCTTTCCTGAGCCTGAGAGCATCCACAGTGACAGGGACACCGGAGTCCCTGCAGACCTGTGCTGACCATCAGCCATCCCAAACAGCCAAACGCACCTGGACACCATGTGCTGACACTGAACACACACTTCCAACACGACAGAGGTACTTTGTTCCCGTTCATCCCCCCACCATCACTGTGAAGATGCTGCCTGTGGGGCCAGCCCATCTCGTGCTCCAATAACTCGCTGGATATTCCAGGTCCTGTCCTGGTTTGTGTCAGCTGATCTAATTCCAATCTTACACCTTTGTTTTAATACTGGGAACGTCCAGCTGCCCAGAGCCATCTCACAGCAGGAGTCCTCTTTCCAAACAGCACATTCAGTTCTTTTTGCCAAGGGCCTTTTTTTAATCCCTTTTTTACTTGCCTAAAGTTCAGTTGAAATGAAGGGGGGAGGAAAAAAATCTCATAAAAGACCACATTAGTTCTAAAGAGAAATAACATTACTGCTACTGGCACTGACCTGGCGAGTCCTGCGGAGCAGCAGCCAGTCTCTGGTTATTAAAGAAAGAGCTCTGCTGCCCGAGAGCAATCAGAGAGGATTGTTGTGCTAAATAATAAAAGTCATAAAACATTACCATGTGAAGGGATGTATCCCCTCGGCCTGTGCCCTCCACAACCACTTGAGTATCACCAAATCCAACCAGGAGCACGTGGACTGCAGGGAAGACTTGCAAAAACAAGCATGGAGAGGCAATCCATCCTTTCCCCACCCAACTCCAGGGCTGGGTTTTGAGCAATGGAGGCAGCAAACAGTGCTGCAAAGAGGCAACTCTGTCAGTCCTCAATTCAGAGCCTCACCTGCCTGAAACCACCCGGCTGCTGCTCCTGTGGTTTTATGATGAAAATGCTCCTGATTATTTTTGAGAGACAGAAACAAACAGAGAACCTGGTGGGTGGCTGCAGAGGGATGGAGCAGACACAAAACCTAACAATGAAACACAGAGGGGGAAAAATGAAGAGCATTTCTTAAATCTCCTACTGTTCTGCACCGAGAACATGAGCAGGTTGGGGAATTCTGAAGGAAGTCCAGGCTCTAAGCTGGAAAAGTCCCATTGACACCAGCTGCAGAGCTGGCAGTGTGCATGCTTCCCCAGTGTCAGAAGGATTTGATCTCCCAAATTACAGGTTTAACTCTGTAACACGTCTCCTGGCCAGGAAAGATTCCCTGTGTGCAGCTTTTTGAGGCTGACAGTTCTTTTCTGTGCCCAGCTGGGCTCAGGTTCTTTAGGGCAGCCCTGACCCCCTCCCTGCTGCAGGGGGTCCTCCCTGCCCAACAGCCCGGCAGATCCACAGGCAGCACCGACAGAATCTAAATCTGTCTCCAGCCCGGGGATTAGGGGTTTGTTGTGACTGAGAACAAAGTGCACAACTCCAGTAAATTGATTTGCAACATCAGATGGGAGAAGGATTTTAGCAGTCGCAGATGGGAGTGAATCACCCACCATCCTCTGCCAGCTCCACCGGGAGCTCTGCCCTGTGCCACTGTCCCCCCCGAGCCTCGCTGCTGCTGCTGCTGCTTCACCCCGGGCCGCGCTCTGCGGAGCCCGCACTGCTGAGATTCGCTTCCTGCACAGCGGCTCTCCCTGCCCTGGGCTCAGCCCCGCCGGGCCCGACTTCCCGCTGACCCCGCCACCACTGCTGGGAGTTCTCATCCCTTCCTCCCCTGTGCCTCATCCTGCTTCAATGTAACAAATAAAAATGAAAGCGATGTTGTGGGAATAACCACCGCCAACAGCACACAAGAGAACTCGCAGGCTTCCAGAAGATGAAGAATGTTTTTTTTTTCCCTGTAGAAGAGTAGGTGGGGATGAAGGCTCAGCATGCAGCAGCACACCCCTCTCCATGTTCTCCTGCCCTGAACTTTCTCCTGCCGTTGCCTGAACTCCAGCTGCTGATCTCTGCCTGGGAAACGCTGCTCAGCACACTCACGATGGGAACCTGGCGTTACAGGTTGCCCTCACTAACGCAACACCTTCCCCGAGCAACACAAAGGACGTGTAATTAAACTTATTAATGCCTGCCCTTGTTTTCAGACTGTTCTCAGTTTCAACTGGCAACAGGATTAATTACATTCACAAGGACTCTGTCAGCTCATACCAGATTCCAAACGTTGTTTTTGCCAGAGCAAACCTGAAGGATGATTTTAACCTGTGACATTCACCTGAGCATGGGTGTTTGTTTAACAACGTGCCACTGCAAAGTTTGTCAGGGGCAGCCTGCAAGCCCAGCACAGGACAACCAGCAAGGACACCGAAGGCATTTGTCAGTGCAAGAGGAAAGGAACTGCAAAAGCAAGGAAAGGGCATCAGGAGCAGGACGCAAAAGGTGAACAGAAATACACCTGAATTTCAGTCATCAAAAATGTTTTCAAAGAGCCTCTTTCCCATAAGCAGAATGGCATCAACATGACACTTTCAACAGAAATTAACAATTGCATTAAAAAACTTTTTTATCACATCAGCCTAAATAGTGCCAGATCTGGGGACAACTGATGCAAATAGCAATGACAGATTCACCACTCCAATCTGGAGCCCGAACCACAGCACAGCCCTAGGAACAAGTCATTCCCAAAGCAGCGGCCTCTGGAGCGAGCAGGGACCGTAGGGCCTCAACAAACACCTGGGGCACGTCCATGGCAGCAGAAGCAAAACCGGGACGCAGGGACCGAGCCGGAGCCCCCGGCACCCTGCCAGCACTCACGGGAGAACGGCTGGGGTGCTCCCAGCTGCATCCCAGAATCACCACCTTCCACGGGGGAATAAGGGGTTTGATTTTTATCACCTAAATTTTGCGTAACATCAATCTGGAGGCGGAATCTGGATAAGGCGGCAAAGGCGAGGCAGGATGTGTCCTCCTGGACCAACCACACGGAAATGGAGCCGCAAGGCCCATCTCCACAGCGCGGCTGCCGAGCCCGGCCAGGGATGATGAAACGCCGCCCAGGATGAAAACAAACCGCGAACGCACGGAACGAGGCACGGAGCGCGGCCGCGCATCCCCGGGCCGGGCCGGGCGCGGCTGTCAGCGCCGGTCCCTCCAGCGCGGCGGCCTCCGCGCCCCGGCCCCGCTGCGCGCCCGCCGCCCCCGGCCCGCCCGGCCCCGGCCCCTCCGCTCCGCACCGGGCGCTGTGCGGGACCCGCCGGTCGGGGCGCGGAGTTGGCGCTGCCCGCTCAGCCCGGGCACGGCCGCGCAGCCCCGCACTCACCCGCAGGGCCCGGCCCCCGCAGCGCCGCCACCGCCGCCGCTCCGCCGCCCCGCTCGGGCTGGGCCATGCCGCGCTCCCGCTGCCGCCGCCGCGGGCGGGGACCCCCGGCCCTGCCGCCCCCGGCCCCCGCCCCGGGCCGGCCCCGCCGCCGCTCCGCCCCGCCGCGGCCCATTGGCTGCGCTGTAGCTGGGCAGAGCGCCCCGGGCCCGCCGCCCCCGGAGCGCGGGCTCGGCTCGGGGGGCGCCCGGTGTATTTCTCTCTCCGCCGCGGCCGGGGGTCCCCCCCCACCTCGGCTCCCGCCGCCACCGCCCAGCAGCGCCCCGTGCCCCGCGGTCCCCGAGCCGCTCACCCTTCGTCTCATCCCGCCTCTCCTGCCCGTCGCCCTCATTCTGTTGCGATTAACCGGGGTAAAGCGCAGCTCTCCGGGAGCCCGAGTGGTGCGGCGGCTGCCCCGGACACCTCTGTCCCCGCCGCGTCCCCCGGCCCGGCACCGGGAGGGGAGGGCCGGCGCCGCCCGCCCGCCTGTCCCTGCCCTCGGCCGCGCACCGCATTCCTTTCCCGTTTCGGAGAGCCGAGTCACTGACCTTTGCAGCAGCGCGATCCACAGCAGGGAGTAGCGCCTGCAGCAGCAGCCGGCGGCCCCCGCGTGAGCCATGGTCCGCACCCCGCACGGAGCGCGCCCGCATCGGCGCGGAGTTCACCGGGGGGCTCCCGGCCGGGCTCCCCGGGGGGCTCCGGGGCCGCGGGGCTCAGGCCCGGGCGGCCTCACGGAACGCGGGGCCCGAGGCTGCAGGTGAGCGGCAAAGGAGCTGTGAGGCAGCGGAGAGGAGACGGGAAGGCTGCGCGGCATGGTCCCACTGTCCCGACTGCCACCATCCTCTGCCAGCCCACGCCGACACGTTCCCAGAGCCAGACTGCTGCTGTCATCCTGGCGTATTCAAATGCCTCCATTACTCATCAAGAACAAAGTAGGACTATCTAGTAAATGAAAAACCACCGCATGGCACTGTCCCCTGCCTCTTACTGATGGCTGCTTCCTCTTCCACTTTTCAAAGGCTACTGTCCATATCTGCAGCTCATGCGAGGCAGCTCCTGATCAGCGGAGAACGCCGGCACCTGGGCTGCAAACGCTGGTCAGCTTTGGAGGGGCAAACGCCAACAGCGCTAAACATCCCCAGGTGATAGGAATATACTCGGGGTTCTCTCAGAGCACAGGAGAAGGAAGCAGATCTCAGAGTGAGAGACGGGCAGCTCCTGCCCGAGGCAGCAGGCACAAGTCTCGCCTCCTCCAGGGACACACAAGCCGGATTCCCAGAGGGACCATCCCTCCAGCCAGCGCCACCGTGCACGGCACTGACAAACGAGTCAAAATTCGCAGGTTCTCTGCCCAGTTCCAACACTAACTCTCTGCACAGCCTCCCCTACGTGCCTCTCCTCCTCAGCCAGAGAGGTGGCCATGACCCTCTCACTGACAAAAGATCCCGAAAATGTGAAGCAGCGTCAATACAGAGCTTGGCTAACAAGGAGCACGATGACCTAAAGCCAGTGGGATCCCTTCTTTCTTCCAAAGCAAACTGGTCCCCAGCATGCCCGAGGGACAATGGCTCACCAGCCACTCTGGCAGCAGAACACCCCAGTCTTTGCCTGTCCCACCTTCCCTCCTTAGTGGAGGACATGCAGGCCCCCTTTCCCTTTTAGTCTGCAAACAGCGCTCTGGATTTAGCACATTTTGCCTCATTTTTGCCTCCCCCATTCCCCCCACCAGCGGTTTGAAGTTTTCTCACCCTTTGCTGGCAGATGCCATGCAGAGAGACAAGCTCGCTGTCCTTGATCTGCTTTTCAGGGCTTCTATAAAGTAGGGCACCAGATTCAACCCAGCGTCAGGTTTTTGATACATTGCTGGAGTAGCCAAAAATAATAACAGGCAGCTTCAGTCAATCTTCTCCTTCTCAAATCTGCAGCAGCAGCAGCACAGGGATCCTTTGTGTGGCAGAGCTGTGATGCTGGTCAGCAGTGCAGAGCCATTCCCATTCCCACCTGCCAGCCAAGCTCCCCCGAGTCCTGCTCGGGGATCCTCACACGGAGCTCTTGCTTTGTGGGGTTCCCTTCCCCAGAGCCATCCGTGTTTTGCTCTCTGTATTTCCTTCAGCAGCTTATCTCCGTGGCTGCTGCGAAATGCTAAGGTCAAGTTACAGTTTTACCAACCCTTTTATCTTCCTGGCAAGGCACGAAAACGCAGAACCTGAACTTTGGAACGAGCCTTCGCACCTGCAGTGGGTGGAGAGTGGAGCAGACCCAAGGCAGTGGGAGAGGGAGAATTCGGGTTCTCTCTGCAGCCCAGCACTGGAGCAGTCTCTGTTGCACATCCAGACACTTTATTAGGGCACTCTGGAAGGAAGCACTGAACCCACCGAGCCTGCACTGGCTCTGCTGGGAACTGTGGCAGCTCCAGCTGACATAAGGACCCAGCACAGCTCTGCTACAGCTTCCACATGACAGCAGAGACCAGCAGGACCCAGAGAAAGAGCTCTGTCTGCTGGGAACTGCCCAGTTGAACTCCCCCTGTCCCAAACCTGAAATTCCAGATGGTTGGTCTGTGCAGTACTGGGAAGTGAGCCAGGCATCAGGGGATGAGGTAACGTTTGACCTTGGAGCCCGTGGGACTGTCGTGCTGCACATTGATTCTCCACACTCACCTCAGCAAATGCCAACTATGTTTTCCCAAAGTGACATGGGGAGCGTCACTGTGCCCCTGTCCCATTGATCACTCTGGGGTTGGGCTGGCGTCTAAGACACAAACTTGTTTGGATACAGATCTGAAATGCACAGGCCATTCCTTGCCCCCTCCCTTTCCACGCTCTCCGGACCCATGAGGCTCAGGAGATACAGAAAGAAACTCAAACTCTGCAGACCCGGGCCTTGGGGACTGCTCTGTCCCTGTCCCCAGGGAGTACCAGGCAGTGAAGGAGCCACATTCCATTGACTCAGTGTTCAAATACTGCTGCAGGGAGCATTTACTGCCACCAAGAAGAACTTGTACATCGACGTCTCAGCTCATTTTGTCCAAGCCAGGGTTTATCCAGCTTCCTTCCAGCGAGCTCACAGCTCACTCCTGGTGTGCACAAGGTGTTGTTTTCCTTCAGAGAGCTGTTCCTTCTGTGCAGTAGGTGATTCAGGGGTGTACGGCACAGTCAGAGCTGTGACTGCCCCTGCGGTGCTGGCATTGTCCCGGGCACTGTGTGTGACCTCCACCCCACCCCTTCTCCACATTTACACCTCCTGTTCCTGACGGATCCCAGCACCACCCACCCTGCTCACTGCTCAACAAATGGCATTTGTAAAGGAAAGCCACCGTGCCCAGTCAGGGCAGGTGGAGTGTTTTTCCACGGGTTATTAGAGGAAGTTTTCCATTCCCAGTTATTATTTGTATTATTTATAGTCCCCTTTTCTTGGGTCACGTTTTCTCCTCTGGTCCCAGCCAGGCCTGGCTGTTTCCTTGGCTGGGCAGAGGAGGATGGGCACAGCTTTGCCTCCAGCCCTCTGGGCAGCAGCCTTTCCACACTCCAGCCATGTTTACCTTTCAGAGCTATTAAACCCAGATATCTCTCACTTTTTATTGACTGTGAAGCCAGTGCTTTGTGCTTTATGACCACGCTGTCTATCATTGGGAAACAAACAATTTCCTAATAACCTCAAGGAGTCATCAGGGGAAGGGATTATGATTATCCAGGCCTACTCCAAATTTACAGTTAAAATCAAATAGCCATTGATGTCATAAATGCACTCGTTTTCTAAAGTTTGAACAGTCCCATATTGCAGCACAATTAGCATTACAGTAGATGGGTGTGACTGGCTGTCACTGATTGCTGCTTCTCCACCTGCTGCAGTGACCCCCAAAGCTGAGCTGCAGTCATGGGGCACCCCTGAAAAATGGGGCGCTGTTTTAATAGTGTTTACACTGAAAGAATATTTCACTGGGCCTCCAGCCCCCTTTCACAGCACCCAGACAGTGCATCTGACTGGCCAATTTCTCTTTCTGCTTATAATTAGCTTCACTTTTCTGCTCTCCTGGATAAGCATCAGACTTTCCTCTAGGAATGTAATCCCAATCCACAGGAAACCTGTCTTTACTGAGATGCCACTCATCTTTTCTGCAGGTTTTATTTAAAACAGAACATTGTTATTAGCAGCAGATTTTTCTAAACCTTTTTGTGAGGTCCCATTCCTGCAAACATCCAATATCATTCTGTGTGATTAGTCTCGCTTCAGAGACACCACTTAACATTCAACCACAATTTGAGCCAAGGCATTTGCAGGAGTCAAGTTTTGAATTCCAATCTAAACTACAGAGGAGTACCAGTGGTGAATGACTTTGAGCCTGACAAACACAAATAGATGTTTTAGCATCTAAACTACATTTTCCTGTGATTTGTCCTCTGTCTAACAATACTGGCCTGTATAATGGCTTCAGTTTAATAGGGAAGAGCTGACTTTGGAGGCCGAATGATGTTCAACAAAATGATGTTCTTAAAAAGCAATATTCAAAGAATGCAAAATTTATAATCAGAATAAAGTTGGGAAAATATTCTTTTGCCGCTGCTGAACTTCCCTTAAAGAAACAAGAAGAAAAGCTCTAAGCATTTTAAAGTTTGTTTGTGGTTTTTTTATCCATAGCTGGCACCAGGATATAAAGCTAATTTCTTCCGATTGCTATTTGCCTTTTAGCCAGAGAGGTTTTAGTACCTTTAGCATCTTCTAGGGAAGGATATAAAACACATCCTTCTCATGGGAACCTTCCCTTTAGATGGAATGAGAGGTTCTTTTTCTATGGCCTTTTCTGGGAATGGTCCCTTTGTTTCCCTTGGAGCAGAGTGAGGCACAGCTCTGCACCAAACCCAGGGCAGCCCCAGGGACTTGGTTGGACCATCCTGACTCTCACCATTCCAGACTCCACGAGCAGGGATTAAACTTGGCAGTACTGGGGTGCACTGCATCACTTCTCCAGCTCATTTTTATAAGTGCAAGTACCATTACTGCATTCTCCATGCAATGCCAAGGGCTGCTACTTCCAGAGCTGATGTAAAAATTGTTATTAAAACTTACAAACTGTGAAAAGCTCTTAAAAAAAGTCCAAATCCTGGCACTGCCCTAAATTAAATTACAGCCAGGAGCTGCCAGGGGTACCTGGATAAGCAGAGAGCCAAGCGTGCGTGCAGTCCTTATCCACAGCCCACACCTGCTGCTCCCTCCTGCAAGTTTCACTAATGAACACAGTGTACAGCCCAGAGGATTTCAGATAAGGGAAAGGTCAGGGTGAAGACTCAGGAGTGAAGAACAGATTGAGCGGGGTTCATAAATGAAAACCCCATTTTAAAACTAAAATTAATTTTTTTCAATAAATTAGGGCAAGTGAGTTTTCCTCCAGCTCAGACAATGCAGCTTTCCCTGGATATGGACCACTGGTGGGAGGAGGAAGCACGTGTGCTCAGGAATCAATGCTAATACCCTCAAAAATTAATCTCTGAAAATTGCTTCAATGGAAGAGAAACGATTTCATATAAATCTCTGTATAGCAAGAGCTGACAGAATATCCCAGTGACACCTGGAGTAGGTACAGACTGAATAAAACAGGTTTTGTCTTTTCTTACACGGGGTTGGTGCGGTTGCTCTGCCTTTGTGTGCCTCAGTTTCCCTGCTGCAGACGTGGGCTGGGGCATCAGGGAGTTTGCTAAGAGCCAGCTGGGGTGACACAGGGTGGAAACACTGCCTATTCCATGGAAATGAGAGTTGTGGATTTCAGCAGGCAGCCAGGATTGCTCTCTCCAGGAAAGGGGAGAATGTTGCACAGGGAATGTGTCTGGGAATGCCAATGTCTGTGCACACTGTGCCTTCTGCTACCTGCAGCACCAGGCCAGCCACAGGGGCAACAAGCTTTGCAGATCTAAACCAGACCTCAGAAAAACAGAGTCTCAGCCTGGCTGAATAATTCATTAATTAAAAGAAGACAATGAGCCGTGTGTCGGCTTTGCTGCTGACAATTCACCTGGGCAGCTGCAGCCCTGCTGCCCCTCCTTGGCTCCTGCTGAGCTTCCAGGGCATCGTGCTGCTCCTGCCCCACACCTCGGCACAAATCCTGGGAAAGGGACCCAGAGCTGCAGAGCCATTCCTGTGAATGCCAGTCAGTCCAGACCCAGTAAATCACCCTGAGCAGAAACACTTTTACCAACTTCTGGAGGGGAGCTGGAGATTCCTGAACGAGTTCTCCCCATATCTCCACCCTCATCTTCTAAACAAGGGAGCCAGAGGGGAGCTTGTCCTAAAGCTTCACCCTGTGGAAGGGAATGGAGGCAGGAGCAGGGGCACGTGTGAGCCCCAGTTCAGGAGCTGTACAGCAGAACAGCACCTTCCTTTTCTAACCGAGCTATTTTAAATCAATCTAGTTAGACAGATGCAAGGCACTGACACTGAAACTGGTTTGATCCTTGCCTGAACAGGATTAACTTGCCTCAGTTATTAACCAAATTAAACCCCGCTCATCATCATTGCAAAAATGACTGTATTTTACACTCAGAGTTGTGTGGAATTTTGTAGACAGAACCTGGAAGGATTTTACTTTGTGACAGGTGTTCAGGGTCACCACAGAGCTCCCCACAACCCAGCCTGGCCTCAGTTAACTCCCTGAAGTAACCTGTGCCTGTCTCACCTGCAATTTTACTCCATTTTAAATGTCTAAATCTACATTTTAGGCCATTAGCTTGTACTGATCACAGGAAGAGTTAAAACTGCTCAGACTCACTAAGAGCCTGAGTTGATGTAAAGTGGATTGAGTTAAAATAAACATAATTGCACAGACACCTTCTTTTCTGCTGGGGCTCACTCCTTACTCACAGTCCTGGCTCTGCCTTTTCCACTCACCAGCACTGGCATTGCTTTGCAGGTCTCAACTCTGCAGGGTTAAATCTGCAGAGCCCAAAAATTCTTATTTTACTTTTTTTCTGAGAAAATGAAAAATGTTTAGATTTGGTTTAGATTTTGTTCTTGTATTTAATTTCTCAAAGCACCAATTTCCACAAATATTCTTTTCTTCCTCTGATATTTTCTTCCTCTGAATATAAAACCATCATCCAAGTGGGAAGAGCCAACAATCCTCTCTGCCCTGGTGCCCATCCCCTGAACTGCTGCTATGGCACTGCACTAAACCACTTTTTCTTATCCTGACAGATGCTAAGCTTAGGTCAAATCCCTGGGAATATGCAGGGCCAGCGTATGTTCTCATAAACAGAACTGCAATCTGCTCCTGAGCTGATGAGCTGCCCTGGATTTACACAGCTCCAGGGTGGAGCCTGCACACACTGCCAGGTGCAGTGGCCAGCAGGGAAGCCAGGGAGGGGAGCAGGGGGTGCTGGGCACAGCCTGGGAATGTCCCACCCCAGAGCAGGGGACGAGAGTGGCTCAGCTCCCTCCTGTGCCAGGGGCTGCTCCTCCTGTCCCTGCCTGGCTCCGGGAGAGGGCCTGGCTGCCTTTATCTGCCATTCCAGTGCACCAAAACTGAAAGCTCCAGGTGAGTTTCCAAATGAGTAACCGGGCTCTAAACACAGCGAAAAAGCAAAGTCCACCCTGGTCTGACCAGTCCCAGCTGCTTCCTGCTCCATCACAAACAGGAGCCTCTGATGTCACCATCCTGCACCAGCAGCACTAAAGCCTAAAATGGTTCCATAAAACAACTGGAGCTCTTTGAAAAGGACGTTCAGTGAGGCCCTGGTTTGTCCTGTCCTGTCCAGGACAGGAGCCCCTCCTGGAGCCGAGCACTGAGCTGGAATTCACTCTGGAGCTGCGTGTGCTGCCCTGCCAGGGCTGCTCTCCCCAGGAAATCATCAGCCTTGTCAACAGCAATTCCAGGGATGGACCCTGGCTCTGGGGAGTGACCGAGCACGGCTGGGGCTGAGTCACTGCACAACCTCCAGTCCCATCTCATTTACAGGGCACGAGTTCACACTGCTGGGCTGGCATGTGGGACAGGGACAGGGACAGGCCTGGCACAGTGCAGACTTCTGAGAGATTCAAACGATTGCCAAGTGAGAAAAATGTTCCGTGATTTCTTCTTTGGACACTTGAGATAAGCAAAAGTGATGAGGATCTGTCTGGCTGATGTGAGGGTAAAGCAGAAATCTTCCCTGGGAGGAGGGATGGGTTAAATGCTCTGTGCTCTCCAACCTACAGCTCTTGCAAAATCCAGATGCACCAGCAGCTGCCAC